TCCGAATGATGGCAGCAGTGACGGAGGAGGAGGAGGAGACGTCCGCCCACCCAGCCGTCCCACCCACCAACCGCCGAATGAGGTCGGACTCGAGAGGGGTCGGCGCCTGGAGGGTCTCCTCACGCCGACGCGAGTGCGGGTGAAGCCCAGCCTCCAGGCGCCGTCGATCATACGCCCGCTGGGGCGTCAAGGCAGGGCGACAAGTCTTGAAGAGGGCGCCACTCGACCTCTCCTCTGCATAGGCCCCGCATTTACAGCAATACACTAGGACCTGATCGCGTGCCGTCCAGCACGCCCTCAGGACGTGGCCGCCCACCCCTTCACACTCACGCAACTTTACAAGGAGCGGAGGGGGGCCTGGGCACTGATTGAGGGGTCGCTCGTCCTGCTCAGGGCAAGCCCCAAGGCACCGAGCACAACGCAACTTCCAACTCCCCACACGACACCACTCGTGCCACGACACAACACGCGTTATGCTCGGCACCTTGATCTTCTTAAAGGATGGGAGCGGGAAAGCAGGAAGGACCGCCGCCGCCACACGAATGGCGGCGCGGAGGCGTTTGACCATAAGCCCATGCAACTCCGAGGTGGCGGGAGGGGCACGGGGGTGGAGGGAAAGGGCATCCTTGGCTAACAAATCGGCCATCTGGTTGCCACGCGCGATCCTTTCCTCATCAGGTGGGAGCGCGGAGATGACATCTTCAGAGCGATGGGCACGGGTATGACTAACGTGCCCGATGTGTGTGTGCCCTGGATGCTGGAGCGCACCACGGCGCAGACCAGCAAAAACTTGGGATCCGTTAAGCTGGGCGGGGGCAGGCTTTTGAGTCAAGCGCACAGCGCCCAAACAATCGGAAACCGGCCTCGTGGTCCCTGGGCCCCGTTGGAAGATGGAAAGCATAGCTAGGGCAAGGTGTTCGGCGGACGGCGCCGTCTGGGGTAAGGACTCCCACACCACACCCTGCATCCTACATCGGACTTCGCACTGCTCAGAATTCTCCAGAAAGACCGCGGCATAAGCCGCTCGATTGAGACGGGCGAATTCAGTTCGAGTTGCACTGCCGTCAACACAAACATCACATCCCGCGCTGAGCTCCTGGAAGGTCTCCTGGGACACAGGGTTGCCCTGGGCATCCTGGAAGACAGGGAACAACTCAGAGGAGGGAGGAGGGAACTCGTCGGGGCGAGGTTGGAACACCAGGAGCCTGGACCACAGGAGATCTCCGGGCTCCTCGCGCGCATCAGCTGCAATCTCTGCCGACGTCGCCTCATCCCTAGCGGCGGCCACAGCAGGGCAGCACCAGAGACGATGATGAATTGAATCTGGCTGGGAGCACAAGGGGCATAGACCTGTTGATTCAAAGCCATGCTGCACAAGGCGGTCCTCGGTCCACATGCCCCCAGCAAAGACGGAGGCTACAACATGCTTTTGCAGCGCCGAGAATTTCTTAGAACGGACAGCTTGGACAATCAAATCTGCGGCAACCTCCTGCCCCTGCCCCTGCGTTAGAGTGGCAGCAAAGCAACGGCCATGATGGCGAAGAATACTAGCATGCAACTGCTTGGCAAGCAAGGCAGGAGAGGTGAAAAACAAATCATGCTCTATCTGGTTGTCATCGAAGAAGGTCTTAAAGTTGGTGAACTTCCATCCTAGGCGATGCAAACACAACATGGCACGGTGAATGGGGCCTGCACTCTTATTCCACTGCGACTGCTGCAAGACTGGATACTTCGCGGCTACAGCATCCCACGTCTTCTGCAAGAACCTCCACGAGAGCACAACACGATCAGGATGCACAATTGAGTTCCATACTGCCTTGGAATATTGAATGACGGGCGCCACTGCTACCTTCCACGCTGGGTCATCATACAGGAGCATACGAGCGGGTAGCGAGCCTCCTCGGAACGGGACGAGGGCACGTCGTAAAACCAACAACTCTCTCTCCGTCATGCCAGTGACGAGGGAGCCGTACGTAGTCGCAGGGCGCACTCCAGATATATATATCTTGTGAAGTCTGGCCTTGCCAACAGAGAGCCGTCGTCGTAGCGAACGCAGGAAGCCAACACGTCTCTTCATAGCTCGAAACCGTTTCTTCATCCGACACGTAGCGCCAGGCGCAGCACGAGGACGAGCAGGAGCAAAGTCAGCACCGAGCGCAGTGGCAGAGGTCGTAGCAGCCGCTGAGCGAGCACCGATACGAGCAAGCCGTCGATCGAGGTCACGAACGACATCATGGGAAGACCCAAAGACCACCGCCTTGTCGTGGGCGAGGCCAACCTGGAGCTCCTCCCTATAAACGGTGACGAGGTCCTGGGCGGCCTCCACGAGGGCTGGTACGAGGTCTTGTCGGGGGCCCGTCATGGAAACGCAGTCGTCATCAACGTACACGCCGAGGTCCAAGCGGGGGTGCCGCGCCACGAAACCATCTAGGGCCCCGAGGAGGTAGATCTGCACGAAGGCGTCATTGAACACGTCGCCAGCTGGCAACCCAGAGCGGGCAAACTGCACAAGAGGACAGTGATGGGCTCCCAGTCGAACCAGGCGGGGCCCCCTCCAGAAGTTGAACAGGACCTTGACTAGGGGCCGCGGGAGCCCGCACGCCAGCGCACGATCACGCAGGAGCTCCAAGTTAAACGACTCATAGAACTTGAGGCCATCCCACAGAAACCCCGCCGTCTCTTGGTCGATAGCCTGGCCACGTTCAGCGCGGACCGCCGCAAGCCACACTGCCTCCTCAGCTCCCCTGCCTTTTCCAAAGGACCAGTACTTGCGGGAGGACGCTTCCAGGAAGGGCTCCACAAGAGGGCGGCGTGCCTTTTCCCACACTCGCACAAAGGACGCGACGAGCAAAATTGGGCGGTAGCCGCCTTGCGGCTTCTCAAGCAGTGGAAAGAGGAGCCAGAGGAGCTGGGCAGGAAACAAGCCGAGGCGCTCCGAGCACGTGAAAATAATACTGAGCTGCACGAGCGCTGTGTCGCTGAGCATCTCGACATGCCGTGGGTGAAAACCGTCTAGGCTTTGGGCCGTGGATTCCGAGAAAGTCCGAGCCGCCGCACGCAACTGCACACACGTGAGAGCGTCCAGAGCCTCGCGATCGGGAATCCACGCCTCAGGAGGCTCCACCTCCGCATGCCAAAAACCTCCGAGCTTCACGGTCTCCTCCTGTACTAACTGACACGGCTCAGACGTAAACGACCCAGGGACCGAGGAGGAGACCGTGGGCTCCCACAGCTTCTTGATGCGGGTCAGGCGATGCATGCGCCTGGCCGAGCCGCTGAGCGCCAAGATGTGCCACTCCTTCCAGGAGCGGTCTCTGGCTTTGGAGTGCTCCGCCTGGACTTCATCACATTCCGTGGCGAGCTCCTCCGCGAGCGCATCAGCAGTATCCCACCACTCGCTGTCCCCAGGCAAATGCGGAGACCATTGAGTGAGCAGGAGGCGTACTGACGCCAGCGAGCGGTCCAGGCGGGCGCACAAGCCCTCCCCCGCGTGCGAAACTCGCACCGCCAGGAGATGGTGAGCGCCTTCACCCGAGACCCAATCAACATCATCACGACGCGTGAGAGACAAAAACTCACTGAGCATACCGCACATCCATTGCCAACAGTTAGCCACCAGCGTGCCATCATCGGGCTCCTGTCGGCGATGGACGATAGGCTCCCAGACTGACTGCACGCGAGCTCCTCGCCACCCCGCACGGGTGGTGGGGAGATCGCAAACGTCAAGTAACTCCTGCTCGGCAGCATTGGCAAAGAGAGACCACACTTCATTCATGAGAGCCCAGGCCTCCTGAGAGGAGCCATGCTCAGACAAAAACTGCAGCTTGGGCAGGAGGCGCTCTGACAACGCCCACGGGGGAGGGGGACGAGGACAGCCGATCGGGAGGTGGGTGGGGATTCGACTGTGACGCCGAAAGACCAACTGACGGACCTGAAGTGCATTAGCACGCAGCTCAAGCAAAACAGGACGGTGCGGTCTAACATGCCACGTGCTGTCCACAAAGATGCTGGCAGCCAGCGTAGACAGAGCATGCCCTACAACGAAGAAATCAATCGTGGACGTAGACGAACTGGTACGGCAGGTGATTGCAGCAGGCGCCATGATGACGGCCTTGACCTTCTGCACAAAGCCCGTGGCCTCGACGGCGGCAGGTGAGTTGTTCCAATCTGCCGCAATGACCGTGAGCGGAGGCTGGATGATCTTGGCGCCGATCGCGCTGAGCATGGACAGATTCTTCTCACGCATGCCGTCATTGACGTGGAAATAGGCACACACGATGTTGAACGAGAAACCAGGGAGGTCAATGGTAACCTGTATGGCACGATGTGGCACAATAGCCTTGCACGCTGGGTCAGTCCATCGCAAGCCAAACCCATCACGAACAAAAACTCCAACCCCAGCCGAGCACCTCTGCGTCGCGGGGTTGAAGGACGACTCACTGATGAGGAATCGCCAGCCCAGGGCGCGCACCGCGGCCAGGGACTGGGGCGCTGTGAGCTCGGACAAGCCAAGCTCCTGGGCGCACACGATGACACTGGTAGTCGTGGTGAGCCGCTCACGTAGCGTGGACCACCCAGAGCCATTGAAAGTCTCGATGAACTGTGTCGCCGTCGATGTCGGCGGCAACTTCTTCCTGCAAATCGGGGGTATTGGTAGCCTCATACACGACAACGGCAGGCCACAGACCCGCGGGTGTACTGCACCATGGTGAGGATCACCCCCGCCGCTGCTTCTTGGTGACGAGGCCGAGGGACTTGAACAACTCCTGGAGCTCCCGTTTGTCACCAGCAAACTTGGTAGTGGAGATGACCTGGGAGATGCCTTCCTCGTCGACGTCAAGGTACACATCATCATCCTCAGGGACGGGAACCGATTCACCACAGTCGGTGCCCTCATCCCCGACGGTTGGGCCAGCGGCGGCTGCCTGGGCGGCAGCAGCCGCACGCACAGCCTCCTTGAACTTGTCAAAAACAGGCGACTCCACCATGGCCTTGAGGTCGGCGTCGGCCTCCAGCACGGTGGTCGGGAGGTCGGGCAGCACGAAGGAGGTAGCATCACTCCCTTCAGGGCGCAGGTCCTTAGGGCAAGACTCGCGCAGCTCCTCCTGGAGGGTAGCCACCAGGTCCTTGGCGGCCAGCACCTTGGCCCTGAGCTCACGGAGGTGCTCCTCGGCGGCCTCGACGACCTTGACCTGCGCACTGACGTCGGACTCGAGCTTCTGATGGCGCTTGATCGCATCCTGCAGCTTGTGCCCGAGGGTGGTGTGGCGTGCAAGTTGTGGCTTGGCATCATTCCGAGCCTTGCGCGCCGCGGCCAGAGACTGCTCGGCACTGACACGGCTGGGGACGTCAGCGCCCAAGCCAGACTTGGCGAACTGGGCAACGATACCTTCCCAGCGCTGTACCTCAAGATCGAGCGGATCGGGCGGAGGCGCAGGCACGGGAGTGGGCACGGCCTGGGACTTCTGGAGGGCGGCGTACTTGCGCTTGAGCTCGGCGAGCTCACGGGCGATGCCACCATCCACACTGCCTGGCGGTCCTGCCGCCCACGCACTCCCAGCACGGCGGCGACCACCTGCAGCCCCAGGAGCATGAGACGGCCCACCGGCTTCCATCTGCTTGGCCGCCTTGCGCGCCTTGTCTGCGACAGACTGCGGGGCAGGGCGGCCGCATCGGCACCGAATGCGCGATGCATAGTTGGCGGACGCGCCGCAGGACGGGCAGCCCCAGAAGGGGCGGGTCGGTCCTGGCAGCACATCATGAGCGGGACTGGCCATCCACCTGTGCGGGGGTGGATGGGAGCGAAAGAAAAGGCTCGCAGGCGCGCTGCCGCTCCGAAGAATGGCACCTGCAAGGCGCGCGAGAAACCTCGCGAGCCCGAAGCGGCTAGGAGGAGGAGGAGGAGGAGGAGGAGGAGGAGGAGGAGGAGGAGGAGGAGAAAGAGGAGGAGGAGGCGGTGGAGGAGGAAGCGCAGGCGGGGGAGGAGGTGCACTGCCGCCAGGGGCCCTTCGCCCCAGCGGGTGATCAGGCCCAAGCACTTGAGCGACGATCAAACATGGTCTTGCGCGAGATGAAATAGCGACACTATGCGGTGGCTTACGCGGGCCGCCGGCGCGGCACGCTGCATAGGAGGCGAGGGCGGCTACGCGCGACCCTACGCAAGGCGACCCCGTTACTGTGCGTCGCTCACTTGGCCCACTCGCGGACACCCAGCCTGGCCGGACCCCTGGCTGGCTGGACCCCAGGGGTGACGGGACCGCATGGCCCGCCCTCGGACACGAGCGCGCCTGCTGCGCAGCGGCGGCACTCCTGCGCCAACAGGCGCAGCTGCAGCAACACGCCAAGCAGCTGCCTGCGCGCGCAGCAGCACCCGGGACGCTTCGTGCCCCATCGGACTGGCGGAGATGCCTCACTGTGATGGGGCTTGGCGGCGGCCGTGCGGGCCCCAGGACCGCCTGAGGCGCCGCCGGGGGACGTCAAAACCCACGCGAAACGCTGAACACTTCGCTGGCGAGGCGCGCTCGGCGTTTCACGCGGGTGTCTTGGGGCGATCCCGCGGCGGCAGTCCCGACATGCGCCCGAAATGGGCACTGCGGGGAGGCGCTCTGCAAGGCACGCCCACATGTACAGGGTGGGTGGCTGCGTTGCTAGCTGCCAGTGCGGAGCCGCGTGCACCGTGCGTGCCCCGCGGGTGCCCTAATCGGGCGGGCCCCAAAGGGCAATCCGCCTTGGCGCCCGCTGCGCTGGCCCGTAGGCCCTCTGGGGTGGTTGGCGCTCGCCACGGAGCGGACCTGCCCCCAGGGCCCCCCCTGCTAGACGCAGTCCAAGTACGCAGCCCCTCCTCCTCCTCCTCCTCCTCCTCCTCCTCCTCCTCCTCCTCCTCCTCCTCCTCCTCCCCCTCCTTCTCTTCCCTCTCCCCCTCCTCCTTTTCCTCCTCCTCCTCCTCCGCCTCCTCCTCCTCCTCCGTCCTCTCCCTTCCTCCATATCCACCTCCATCCTCCTCCCTGCTCCTCCTCTACGTCCTCCTGCTACAACTCCACTTCGTGGCCGTCCCCCTCCGGGGGAGTGCGGAACATGGAGGGGCAGGCAGCACAGCACGGAGGCGGGTGGCAGCAGGAGGAGAGAGGAGGAAGGAGGGAGCGGAGCGGAGTGGACCCCGTTGCGGAATGCAAGTTCGCCCGATGACCCACTGAGAGAGATGTTCTCGACCGCCTCGCCTTGACTTCGCCTTGGCTGAGGACCTCGGGCCGTTTCCCAGCAGCGACCCGATCAAGACAGTATTGCCGCGCTCTGGGAGGAGGAGATGGAGAGGGGGGAGGAGGAGAGAGCAGGAGGGGAGCAGGAAAGGAGAGAGGGGGAAGGACCACCAGGCTGACCAGGTCGTGTAGCCAGGCAGGGATGAGGAGGGAGTAGGAGAAGGAGAGGGGGGAGGGGGGAGACGGAGGAGGAGGAGGAGGAGAGGCGGGAAGAACAAAGGAAGGAAGGAGGAGGGAGAGTGGGCACGGAAACGGGACTGGGATCAGTGACGCAGTCATGCCGAGAGACATGCCACCTCGACCTCGGATCCTCGGGCCTCAACCCCACGACCAAGACGGCCCAGAAGTCCACCCCGCCTCCTGGAAACGCGTCTGGGATCGGGACACGAACGAGGCGAAGAGGATGGAGGAGGAAGGAGGAGGAGGAGGAGGGATAAGGCGGAGGGAGGACGAGGGAGGAGAAAGGAGAGGGGCGAGGAGGAAAGAGGGAGGGAGGGAGGAAGGAGGACGAGAGAGCCAGGAGAAACGAGGGAGGAGGGATTGTAGGAGGGAGGAGGGAGTGTAAGGGGAGGGAAGAGGAGGCGGAGGGAGGGGGGGAAGGAGGCAAAGGGAGGGAGAGAGTGAGGGAGGGGGGAGGACGGGAAGAGCGAGGCGAGGCGCGGCGGGCGGGGCGCCGGCGGCCCGCCGACGGGGGCCTCCTCCTCCTCCCCCTCCTCCTCCTCCTCTCCTCCTCTCTCCTCCTCCTCCTCCTCCTCCTCCTCCTCCTCCTCCTCCCCTCCCCCCCCTCCTCCTCCTCCTCCTCCTCCTCCTCCTCCTCTCCTCCTCCTCCTCCTCCTCCTCCTCCTCTCCTCCTCCTCCTCCTCCTCCTCCTCCGCCTCCGTCTCCTCCCCTCCCCTTCCTACCCCTCCCCCTCCTCCTCCCCCTCCTCCTCCTCCTCCTCCTCCTCCTCCTCCTCCTCCTCCTCCTGCTCCCCCTCCTCCCCCTCCCGTGGGTGAGGGGGAGGAGGCTGGGCAATTCCTGAGCGCTGGCCCTTTTTTTGTTTCAGGTTCTAAGCGAATTGTTAGAGACTGTGCTTTGTGGCATGGACGTGCCCAGGCTGCCTTCGGGTCCCTGGAGCAACCTGATTCTGACGGCATTGCCGGTACAGCGGATATTCAATTCGAGGATGAGTTTTCGCAGGCCCTCCAGGAGGCCTGCCAGGAGGCGGGTGTGAGGCCTTTTGAGCGGGGTCCCAGGGCCATGGGGGCTATGGGTTCTGCTCTTCCTTCCCCTCCGCCTCCGCCTCATCCTGCCCCCAGGGACTTCCTCCAGGTTTCTGGTGTTCCCTGGGTGCTTAGAGGCCATTCCATCGTCCAGGCCACGGTCCAGGCAGAGGACGGTGCAGCTCTTGATGACATAATTTTTTGTAAGTGCTGTGGGGCTTCGGCGCATCAGAGTGCGCGGGGAGGCCTTCAATCTAACTGCAAAGGATCCTCCCATTCGGAGTATGAGACCCAGAGGTCCCGTTTAAAGCGTGGTTTGTTCCCAGGCCATAACCTGGGTAAGGCCACTGTGGGCACCCCGTTTGGCCCGACAGACGGGACGAAGGCTGTTTGGGGTCCTTTGCTTGGCTTTGAGCCTGTTGGGGGTGGTGCTGGTTGGAATGCGGGTCCTACCAGCGAAGCTGTAGAGGCACCAGTAGCGGCCGAGGGTGATCCTCTCCCAACCTCAACGATCGCTGAGCTTCCGGCCTTGTCACCCCAACTGATTGCGAACTTGCACGGTTTCGCTACCCCCGAGGCGCTTGTTGCTTGGGAGAGTGACCAGCGCCCTCGGGATGACTTTTCGGCGGATTGGGACGAGGAGGATAGCATAGGCTAGCCTCCTACTTTCGGCCTGTGTGCCAGGGGGTGTGGACCCACCCGGGATCATCAGTACCCTCAGTACCCTCCCGTGGGGGGTCGCTCCACGAAGTCGCACACCTCGCTGGACATGCCGAGCTCGGCCAGGTACTCGTCGAAGGCCTCCTGCAGCTTGTCGTCGAGGTCCTCCGCATGTATTTGTGTTGTCGCCTCCGTTGGTCGCTCGACATGTCCAAGGTGTGATGTGCGCGCGCATGTGTGTGTGTGTGTGTGTGTGTGTGTGCGTGCGTGCGTGCGTGCGTGCGTGCGTGCGTGCGTGTGTGTGTGTGTGTGTGTGTGTGTGTGTGTGTGTGTGTGTGTGTGTGTGTGTTCGGCGCCTCGACGCTGCACGCGAGGCCGCGCCGCCAAACGGTGTTCGCGCGGGCGCTGCCGCATCGAGGACTCGGACGTTGGTGTGACGTGCTGATCCCACAAGGTACTGTACCTTTCTGGGCCTTCTCTGGGCCTGTGGAGGCGCCCAGGCAAGCCAGGTGCGCTCGCGCCACAACTGACATCCTTCCCCTCCCTTCCATCCCTTCCCACTGCGCTCGGCTCTTCTCTATCCGCGGACGCGTGCCATGTGCCTGAAACTTTGTGGGCCCCGGAAACGGCAGGGCCGTTTTTTCACCGTTTCCAAAAAAATGTCCTTTGAAAATGGGAACGGCAAAAACACGGCTCCAAAACTGGAACCGGAGCCGCAACCGGTCAAAAACCGGCGACGGAACCTGTAAAAAAACGGCGTCGGAACCGGCGAACAAAACGGCAAAACGGAACCGGTAACAAAAACGGCCCTGTCGTTTCCAGGCCCCCCTAAGGCCTGGAACTCCCTGAAACGCCCCATCGAGTTATGCGCAAGCGGAAAAAAGAAGGCTGCGCACATTAGGAGGAGGGGGAGGAGGAGGAGGCGGAGAAACATGGAGAGGATGAAGCACATGGAGGGGCACGGAGACTGAATAGCAGCAGGGGCTGGAATGGAAGCAGCGGGAGGAGCTGGAGGACCAGGGGAAGGCAGAGGGGAGACGAGGGGGGCGACAGCGATGAAAAAGGACTCGGATTATGACGAGTGGCCCGCGCTTGGGCGAGAGCGCCAGTCTGAACGACGGAAGCAAACGCCGATCCGAGAATGAGGCCCATGCGGCAGGCAGAGCACCATCCTGAAGCTCTGACTGGCCATCGCTCGGACGTCCATTTCCTGTGTTTTTGTCGGTTTCCATTCCCTGTGTTTTTTGTCGGTTTCGTGCGTGTTTTTTTCGCCGAGTGATCAAGGATGCTCCTCGATGGTCCTCGCCGAAGGAAAAATGCACACGTCCGAGCGATGCCAAGGCAAGCGGAGCACCATCCTCAACCTCTGACGGAACATCGGATTGTAAGAAGCACCCTGCGACACCTTACGAAGAAAAAAAGACGTGTCGAAATCCTAGCTGTGCAAGAACAGTACGCGGAGAGAGTCAGGCATCTCCTGGACAGGGTCAGGGGAGAGAGGAGGGTAGAACTGGGCAGGAGCTGTATCTGGTGTTTCGTTGCCGTGCTGTTTTCGTTTCCTTGGCTTTGTCTTCGTTCTGCCTTTGCTGCGAAACGATTTTAAAACGACAACAGTCCACGAAGTCGGCAAAGCACTGTTTCCCTCGAGCCCTGGAACGGTAATCAAAAGGTGCAGTTTTAAAGGGGGGTGAGGGGAAGCGGCGATGGCACTGTGGCACCGCCAGACGATTCCCGCAGCACCGAAGCACAGGAGGGGGGAAGTAGACTCATCCAGATGCCTTCTACATACCGGTATATATATATACACGCAGATGGCGCTCGCGGGTTTCCATGTGGTCTGTTGTTCTAGATGTTCGACAAAAACAACTTCTCCCCACAATATGGTACTCCCGCTGCACCGATGGCAACATTTCAGGATCGCCTGTTTGCTTCCGTGGTTCACAGTTGCCGCTGTTGCCCACGCGCGGACCACATTCTGGATATCCGAATGTCTTCTCGTCGTTGCCATCCCCCTCTCCTTTTCCCCGCTCCACGTTTTCCCTGCCCTTCCTGCTCCTCCGGCTCCTGGTCATTTCTTTTCGTGCTGCTGCTGCTGCTCCCTCATTCCTCATAATCGTACTCTTTCTTCTGCTCGTCCCCTGCTCATCCACAGCCTCCTCCGTCCTGTCCACTGCACAACAAGCTGCTGTTTGATTACGCATCAACACATGGAGTCATGCTGAGATGAAACATGATTGAAGGCGCCCCAACCAGCAGATAGAGACGAATTCAGCGCCACAGGAAAGGATCTGCGGGAGGGGAAACCTGGGATGCCAAAGCCAGATATGGCGCGGCCGCGCCTCGCTTGCCCTTCTCACATCTGCCTCTCCCTCTCATACATCCCCTCACTTCCTCCCTCCTCCTCGTCCTCGTCCTCCGCCCAGTCGCCGTTGTACGGCGGGCGGGAGAGGGCCCCATAGATGCAGGGGCCTCGAACAAAAATGCCTTGGTGGACGACGGAGGATGGAAGAGTCGAGGTCCGCACAGACGACGGAAGATGGCGCAGGCAGGTGGGATGATGAGGACCCTCACCTCCGTCGTTTTTCTGTTAATGCTATTTTTCATTCACTGGTCGCAGCGCACAGGTGCCCCCCCCCCAGAATTGGAAACCATCTCCCCAGGGCAGGCTTTTCATCCCGAGGAGGAGGACGAGGAGTAGGAGGAGGAGCAGGAAGGGGAGGAGGAGGAGGGGGAAAAGGAAGAGGAGGAGGACGACGACGACGAGAAGGAGGAGGAGCAGGAGGAGGAGGAGGAGGAGGAGGAGGAGGGAAGAGGGGGAGGGGGAAGAGGAGGAGGGAGGAGGAGGAGGAGGAGGAGGAGGAGGAGGAGGAGGAGGAGGAAAAGGAAAAGGAGGACGAGGAAGACGACGGCGAGGAGGAGGAGTGGGAGGAGGAGGAGGAGGAGAAGGAGCCGAGTACTTTTTGCAGGTCCCGGGGCCCGGCAGTGCCTCCCCCTTCAGCCGAGAGCTCTCAAGAACCCGGCGCCGTGACTTTTCATCGACGACGACGACGACGACGACGACGACGACGACGACGGCGGCGGCGGCGGCGGCGGGCGCGACGGCGGGCGACGGCGGCAGCCGGTCCTCGAACTCGGGCCCGTTGTAGGCGCCCACGCTGTCGCGCTCCTGCGCTGCAGCGCAGCAGAGAGCCGCGTGTGGTCGTCGCCAGCGTGACGTCGTCGTGGTCGCCGTCGTCGTTGTGTTCGTCACCGTCGTGGTCCGCTCGTCCGTCCGTGCATCGTCATCCGTAAACGTGCGTCGTCGTCATGGCTTTCCAAGCCATCGTAAAAGCTCGTCGTCATTCCCGTCATCGTCGTCCTCGTCGCAGCAGAGCCGTCGTTGTCGCTGTTCGTAGTCGGTGTCGTCGTCGTCATGGCCATCGTTGTCGTCGTCGTCGGGGGCGTCGTTATCGTCGTTGGGGTCACCCTCGTCGTCGTCGTCGTCGTCGTCGTCGTCGTCGCCGTCATCACCGTCGACGTCGTTGTGTTCACCGTCGCCGTCGCCGGCGCCGGCGCCGTCGCTGGCGCCGCCGCCGCCAGCGCTGCAACCGCCGCCGCCGCCGCCGCCGCCGTCGTCGTCGTCGTCGTCGTCGTCGTCGTCGTCGTCGTCGTCATCGTCGTCGTCCTCTGTTGCCTTGGAAACATTCCCAGATGGTTCTAAGGTTTGTGGAGGTTCCCATCGGAGTGCGGAAGATCCATGTGGCTTTCGGCGTCGTCCTCGGGTGACAACGGGTCTCGCCACCCCCTCGTGAGAGGATACGGAACCGCCGGAACGGAAAGAGAACTCGATCATATATACTGATACATAAAAAAGTATAGATTAGACGAGGTCCCTGGGCAGTTACCTGAGAATATGAAGCTCCCTGGCCAAGCAACTTAGTGTTTCCCGGTGGGGGCCTGGCACTCCTGCACAAGCTTCCCGCTCTTTCTGCCGTGGTCCGTACCGAGGCCACCACAACGGGAGCATGCCAAAATCAATTCCTTTCGAAAGCCTGCTCCCACTTGCCACCGTGTGAGACGGGTGCGCGGGTGCGCCGCAAAGGCCCCCCCTCACTGGCCCGGTTGAGGAGATGCGGTCGGGAACATGGCTTCCGAAGCCACTGAACAATAGGACCTTCGTTTCGCTTGGGGGGCGGCCCGATGCAGCAGGAACGATCGTCCCAATGACGGTGACGACTGCTTTTGTCCGCCCCGAGCAGGTGCACAGAATCACACGGGGCGCGTGGGAAGCCCGGCTTCGGCTTCGCCGAGCCCACGGACGCCTGCAGCTCTCTCCCTGGTCGGCTCGCTGGCACGACGGCCAGCATGGCAACCAATCTCTTGCGGATATCTCTGGCTTCGACCTCGAGCTCCTTCAGCGCCTCGGCCTGGTTTTGGGTCGGGCGTGTCCCCCTAAAGGCGGACCTTGGACGAAAAATGAAAATACCAAAGAATACAAGAAACAAACTAATATATTGATCAACACATCGTCCCCAGGCTGTTTTGGCCATTTTTGAAAATTTCCCCTGTAGAGGGACAGGCCCGACTTAACGCTGGCTTCGACCTCGAGCTCCTCCAGCGCCTCGGCCTGGCTCGAGGGGGACCTGGGCACTGGGATGTTTCTGTTCCCGCAGGCTTGTCGTCGCCAGGGCGTCCGTATCAACAAAACGCGGGAGACGGCGCAGAGGGACGAGAGGAAGGAAGAGCACGAGGCAGAGCAGCATGAGGGCGGATGAGGGAGCCAACGGAGGAAGAAGAGCAGAAGCACGGAGATTGAGCAGGGGCGACCGTCCCGGTAGACCTATAAGCGTACCGCGAAAAATTCTTAGAACGAAGAATGTTCGGATATGAAGAAGACACATGCTCGTAGAACGTAAGCCCGGTGTGCTAAAACAAGACAGCCCCAATAAGACAGGTTCTCAGAACATTTCGTGCACCCCACAACAGGTTCCGAACACATTATTTGGTGAGCCTGTATAGAGGCCTCCTAGATGGGGTCGGAGTAGATTGTGTCGGAGGATCCCGCCGCATCGCCGATGGATCGCATTGGCGATGCACCAGCGACGTCGGCGATGCACCGGTGGTGCCGGCGTGGATGAGATCGGACTCCGCATCGAGCCGCATCGCCGATGCATCGGCGATGCGGCGCGATCCTCCGACCCCACCTGCTCCGACCCCATCCAGGAGGCCTAGACTATGGGCAGACCAAGACGCCCCGCCACTGCTCGACGGGAAGGGGCGCAGGGACATCAGTCGGGGGCGCGCAGGTAGGGATTAGCGTTACGTCGGGCGTGTCCCCCTACAGGGGGATTGCCGACGAAAAATAAAGCATACACCACAAATACCCCAAAAAGGTCAAAACATATTCAAAAAATAGTCACCAGACTATTGTTTGACTATTTTTGGATTATGTTTGGGGTATCTTTTATTTTTCGTCGCAAATCCCCCTGTAGGGGGACAGGCCCGACTTAAGAATAGCGATCCATGGATCTGGCGCGCGGCCGCCAAATCCATTGATCCAGGGAGGTGCCCTCTCCAAGATCCAGGCGGCCTGGTGCCGCCTCGCTCCCCGGCGGGGATCCGCGATTGCTCATGGGAGCGGGACCCGTCGCTAATCCACGCCCCCTTGATCCATGTTTGCGATCAGGAGGAGGAGGAGGAGGAGGAGGAGGAGGAGGAGGAGGGGGAAGAGGAGGGGGAGGAGGAGGAGGGGGATGGGGAGGAGGAGGAAGGAAGGAAGGAGGAGGAAGAGGAGGAGGAGGAGGAGGAGGAGGGGGAGGGGGAGAAGGGAGGAGGAGGAGGAGGAGGAGGAGGAGCAGGAGGGGGAGGAGGAGGAGGACACGCCACGAAGAGGAGGAGGACACGCCACGAAAATGTACACGCGGACGCCCTCCGACGAGTTTTGCATGTACCTTCAGGAAGGGGCAACGACACGGGGGGTAAGGCCTAGGGGGGGATGCATCGACCTGGAATCGGTGATACCTCGCCGACAGATCTGCGATAGGCCCCCGATAGCGAATCTGCACATTCCTGGGCGAGCTGGGGCCATCGGGCCCCTTATCAGCTATCAATGGGCGATTGGGGATCGATGCATCCCCCCTATGCCTATCCCCCCCTGTTGTTGCCCCCGCCTTCAGGGACAGCGGCGGTGTATCAATTTGCTGGTCCCTGGTGGTGATCCATACGCTGCCACCCTCCCCTGAGACCCAGGAATTAACTCTTGAAGACTGTCTGTGTACTACATTTGTTGTGGCGGAGAGGAGAACCCTGAGATCCGACGCAGCGAACACAATTGCAACATCTTCGGAAATCACACTCCGAGCCCCAGGCACAATCGTTCTGCCTCAGTTGTCGGGCCAGATGTCGGTCGGCCGTGTCCTCCTACAGGCAGGTTTTGGACAAAACATGATTCATACCAAAAGGTGCAGCAAAAATGGTCAACAAATCATCCCAAGGCTACTTTTCTATTATTTGTGACTGTTCCTCCTGTGCATGGACAGGCCCGATTTAAGGCCAGATCGATCTGCGAGGGTCAAGAGGCGCGAAACGAAGGCGCAGGTGCCCCGGCCCGAAGAAAAATCGAGACACCAGGATCTGATCTCTCGGGGGGGAAACGAGGAGGAGGTCGGCCGAGGCCTCCCAGAAGATGGGGTCCGAGTAAATGGGGCCGACGGATCGCACCGCACCGCCAATTCATCCTCAGGGGAGGACGAGGAGGAGGTCAGTAGAGGCCTCCTAGAAGATGGGGTCCGAGTAGATGGGGCCGACGGATCGCACCGCACCGCCAGAGCATCGCCGATGTGTCGGCGAGGCATCGGCGATGCGTCGGCGACGTCGGCGATGCACTGGCGACGTCGGTGTGGGGAAGCATGGATTCCACATCGAGCCGCATCGACGATGAATCGGCGATGCGGCTCGATCCTACGACTCGGATCACACTTGGGAGGCCCAAGTCACAAGAACACGTGGGCGAGAAGCACGTTCAGGTCGTACACTTCCCCATCCCCTACAAACGGATTTTGGAGGAAACATGAGAAATAGTGGAACAGACACTTAACACAAATCGTCCCCATACGATTTGCTGGAAATGTTTGGATATTCTCCCCGTAGAGGAACAAGCCCGACTTACAAAAAAAACACGTGCGTATCTCCACGGCCTCGACGGCGGGACCCATGGGCCGCGACCCCCGCGGACACGCGCGGATACGGGGCGTTCTTTCGCGGGTGCCCCGCGCGGGGAACATCCGTGAGACCGCGTATCTCGGGCGGGTGGTCCTTGTATGACTACCTACCAGGCCACCTCAACCCAACCCGAAGGCCCGAATTTCAAGTTGGGGGGGTATGGGCTCCTTATGCTTTTTTCGATGCTCCCCGACCCCCCCCCACTGGAAATGGAAGACAAAATGAGGCCTTCGGCTTGGGTTGGGGTGGTTTGGTGAGTGGTGATCGTAGGGGACCGCGCTCTATGCACCGACGCTTTTTCCGACCCTGCACTGGAATATGAACATGAAAGCGGATCCTGGTGCATACGGGACCCTGGGGTACACGTTGTTCGCCGGTTCCCGGGAGAACGGATCAGACAGTATACACCACACCGCCCCTACGTTCAAAAAATCATGGGATTGAGAAGCAACCCGCCACTGGTAGTGTATAGCATCCAGTTTCCGACATTGGGGGGGTGACCTACAAGGGGAGGATGAAGGAAAGGGCCCTACAGGGGTCCTGTAAGGCCCCTTTTGGGCCCCTGTTGCCCCCTCCCCCCCCATTGGGGCCACCCCCCAATACTCGGCGGCGCGCCGGGGGGGGGAAGTGAGAGGGGGCGGGACTTCTCAGAAGGCTCGGCAGAGCTACGGTCTTCTCAGACGTTTTTTTACCCTTTCCCCGAAGATGCGGAAAACCTCAGGGAAGGCACGAAGCTTTCTGAGAAGCCCCGCCGCCTTCTGAGAAGGCATTTTCCTTTTCGCTTCCCCCCATCGCTCGCCGCCGAAGTTCGGGGGCGTCCAAGAAGGGAGCGTTCAAGGGGGGGGGGATCGCAAATCATGTCCGCAGGCACGTGCGCGGCTCAGGGGGGGGGCTGGGGACGTATTGACACAAAAAGGGACGCCGTGAAATCCTTGGAGATATCATGGCCCCCGCCATGATGTCCACACACCCCTAGTCATCATCCCCTCATTGCCGCCCCCGAAAATGAGGGGCGAAGAGACGCGAACTTTTCGTACCCCTCCTCGGCCCGAAGGGGTCCTTTTTGGGGCCCCGCTGGGGCACAAAAGCTGCACCCTGCTTCGCCCCCCTGGTCGACGCCCCCTCCTTACGCAACGCCCCACGACAACGGACGCACCCCCCTTGTCATCCCCCCCCTCTTCAGGGGAACGAAAAATTACAAACATAAGAACTCGGAGGTCCGCGCAGATTTCTCGGATCGGAGCTGGACCCCCCTCCCTGGCGTGCGGAGCGCGCCAGGGGCGGCGGCGGAGGCGCCGCCAGGAGGGTCCAGCGCGGATCCGACAACTCCGCGCGGACCTCAGAGTTTTTATGTTCATGTCATTGTTCGTTCCCTCACTCTTTGCCGCCCCCGAGAATCACCACCCGCCCAGTTCTGGGGCGTTAACTGATGGGGGGGCGATGGATGGGGGGGGTAAGAAAAAATGCACCTTTCGTGCACCTTCGGGGCTCTAGGGCGCTCGTTTAGGGCCCCTTTAAAGCCCCTGTCGTGCAACCCTCGACGCCCCCCAATTTATCGCCCCCCCCATTTTGAGCAGGGACCGATTGTCCCAGCATTCCAACAGTCCTACCACGAAATGTTCTTAGAATCCACACATGTTCTAAGAACAACAACACTGTTTTTAGAACATAAACCCGATGTGTTAAAACAAGACAGCCCCAGCCCGACATGTTCGAAGACCATTCCGTTGAAACCACACAACAGGTTCTTAGAACATTCTTTGGTAGGCCTATAGGCGAGCCAGGACGCCTCGTCACTGCTGGACCATCACCGAAAGCCCGGGGCTCTCCGAGGGACCAGGCCCCGGGACCCCCACCGCGAGGGCGCGGCGACGGCTGCGCTCGCCGCTGCGCGCCGCGGCCGTGCGAGGCCGCCAACCCTTGCGTGCCGCGGGACGGGCGGGCCCCTGGCTGCCAGGGGGCCCCGCCGGGTCGGGGCCGCCCTGGATCGAGGGGCCCAAGGACACACTCACACACACACACATGAATACACACATAAATATACACACGAACCCCAAGATTCCATATACTTTTCCATATCTTCTGGATGTCCGTCGTCCCCCCCCCCACTTGCCAAATTGTCCCATATGTTCCTGGGAGTGGACGATTAATGGTGTCATTGTTTTTGTTCCCTCCTGATGGATGGAACTCGTGCTCGCCACGTCGTCCCGGCCCGCTCTCGGTGTGAGCGAGAGTTGCGAACCCAAGGGTCGAACCTACCGTCGAATCCGTTGGCAAAGGACGGGTTGAGAGAGCGACAGCGTCCTTTTTCCCTCTCACGGCCCGATGGTCATCAGGTACGTTTTCCAATAGGACCGTCACCTTCCTGAACCGAGAACATAGCAGGATAAATGGATAGAAGGGGCAGGGGAGCGGTCTTCGCACACACACACACACAACACACAACACACACACACACACACACGACACACACGCACACACACGCACACGCACACGCACACGCACACGCGCACGCGCACGCGCACGCGCACGCGCACGCGCACGCGCACGCGTGCGCACGCACACACACACGCACACGCACACGCACACGCACACGCACACACTCTCGGCTCCCATGCGTGGCAGCGATCGGCGGAGGGCGACACGACGGCGGCGTGAGCAGAAGCACTCGACAGTCTGCGCGGATGCCTCGGATCTGCGCCGGGCCCCCCCTGGCGGCGCCCTGGGCGGCGCCCCCGGAGCGCGCCAAAGGGGGGGCTCAGCGCAGATCCATGGAATCCAGTCGGACCGCCAAAATGTCGTGTTGTTGCAATCTTTCTTTTCGAATTCGGGGGGGATGGCATGGGGGAGGCACATCGAGCTGGAATCGGCGATACATGGCCGATGAATCGGCGACTGGCCCCCGATCGTGAATCCGCAGGTTCTTGGGCAAGTTCGGGATACCCAGACCCTGTCGGCAATGATTAGCGATTGGGGTGTCGATGCGTGACTTTTCGCGCCATTCGTTTCGCAAAATCAACGGGAGACCTGGAGACAGCGAAAGGCACAACGAATATAGACCCGTTCCCGCGCACCGAGTACACGCAGCGTGTCAGCACGCGCGAAGGCTTGCTTTCGCATGTGCGCGCCAGACGTGGCTTTAAGACAATTATGAAGTACTTTGCCGGGCCAGATCGAAAGTGTCAGTGTTGCCAGACAGTGTGCTTTTCATGTACCCGCTGAATTACCCACGGAGGCCGGAATGCCACGGCTGCGTACTACATCGAGGCACCAGGCCATCCGAAATTGTGGCGCAGAAACTAGGCGCAACAGATTTAGACTTTCGCTCGGTGTAACGTCGGGTTGGACACGCGAACGCGTTGTTTGCGGGACCCGCCGTGCATGCAGGAGGCTCGCGAAGGGGGGGCCGCACTCTGCAGCATCAAATATTTTCGAGACGGCGCTTCGACACATATTCACGACAATGTGCGCCTTTCGTAAGAGCGGATTGAGGGGGGCCCAGCGCCAATAGGAAACACAATCAACCCGTGTAATGAGGACGCGCGGTAAAGGTGCAAGAGCCTTGGACGCCCACGCCGAGACCATCGAAAGTGGTCGAGGATGGGCCGACGATGACCGAGGAGGCAAGGATGAGAAGGGGTACCCTTGGGAAGTCGATCGTTCTGGCTGTACGGGTTGAATACAGATGGGGCCAGAGGACCGCGACGTATCGCCGATGCATCGCCGATGCATGGGCGATTCACCAGCGACGTCGGCGATGCATCGGCGCCATCGGCATGCTGGCCATCGCTCGGACGTCCATGCCCTGTGTTTTTGTTCGGTTTCGTGCGTGGCTTTTTCGCCAAACGATCAAGGATGCTCCTCGATGGCCCTCGCCGAAGGAAAAATTTGAAAAATGCACATGTCCGAGCGATGCCAAGGGCCTCCCAAGTGGGGCCAGAGCAGGTTGGGAAGTTGCTGGTCCTCACCCCATGGAACGCTGCGGCGCGTGACTCCTCGAGCGCCGCTCTCTCTCTCTCTCTCTCTCTCTCCGCGCCGGCCAGGCCCGAACGGTGGCGCGTCTTGGCCGGCCCTCCTGTCGGGTGCCCCTCGACGCGCCCGCCGCACTCACCCTAGGACGGGGGGGGGCGGCACGAGAGGCGCGGGGGCTCGGGGAGGGAAAGGCTGCGGGAGCATCAGGGGCGCTGCCTGGCCGCACTCCATGAAGGGCGAGCAGGCGCCGCGGACGGCGCGACGGCCGCGGCCGCCAATACGGCAACTGCGACTGCCCATACGCCGGCTGCCGACGACGACTGCACCGAAGGCGGCTGCGGCCGACGACGAGGACTACGACGGTAATCGTCTTTGACGACGACGGCGACGGCGACGGCGACGACAACGGTGACGACGACGACGGCGACGACGGTGGCGACAACGACGGTGGCGACGGTGGCGACGAACGACGACGACGAACGACACACAGCAGCAACGACGACGAATGACGGCGAACGACGGCGAAGAACGACAACGAGCTCGGGCAGCGGGGCACCCTCCTCCGCGGAGACGTAGCTCTTAACCTGGCCGATGACCTCAGCGGGCGATCTCCCGGGGCGCCCACGAGAAAGGGGGGGAGGAGGAGGAGGAGGAGGAGGAGGAGGAGGAGGAGGAGGAGGAGGAGGAGGAGGAGGAGGAGGAGGAGGAGGAAGGAGAGGAGGAGGAGGAAGAGAAGCTCCGAGCGGATTTCTGGCCGGGGAAGGCGAGGGGGAGTTGGCACTCCAGGAAGGCGAGGCTGGTCCTCGGAAGGGATTCGGCCCCCTCTCGGAGCCGCCCCGGACGGATCCTTAGAAAGCCGATGGAGCGCCGTGGAAGCTGACTGAGCATCGTGGAACCGATCCCTATCCTCACTCGCGTGGCCAGGGCCCCGTGGCCGATATACCCCCTTAGATGGGGAGGTGGGCTGCTCCCTTCGGAGTTCGAGGGGCCTATCCCCAGCTGGGGGTGGTGAACTGCCGGTCGTGGTTTGTTGCGCCACACGGCGGTGCCTGGGCAAGGCGAAGTAGCCAACACGTGAGCGACGATCAACAGCGGCTCTTGCGCGATCCTTACGCAAGATGGCGCAGCGACCTCACGCGGTGGCTCACGCGGGCCGCCAGCGCGGCACGCGACATTCGAAGCGAGGGTGCTTACGCGCGACTTCACGCGGGCAACGTTTTTTTGCGGGGGAGACTCCTCCTCCTCCTCCTCTTCCTCCTCCTCCTCCTCCTCCTCCCTCCTCCTCCTCCTCCTTCCTCCCCTCCCTCCTCCGCCCCCCTCCCCCTCCCTCCCCCTCCCCCTCCCCTCCCCTCCCCCCCCTCCCCCTCCCCCTCCCCCTCCACTCCCCCTCCCCGCCCCTTTCTGCCTCCCCCCCCCCTACCCCTTCCCCCTCCTCCTCCTCTCCTCCTCCTCCTCCTCCTCCTCCTCCTCCTCCTCCGCCTCGCTGACGACGAGCCGTTTTTTTTTGTCGCGTCGCTCACGTGCGTACTCCGTGCTTTGAAGGTCTGCGCGGCTTTCCGGGGCTGGCGCTGCGCCCCTCCCGCTCCCCGGCCTGGCGCCCCGAGCGCGCCGCGAGCGGGCGCCCGAGGCGCCCTCGGGGAGGGGCCCGGCGCCGACCCGAGAGGTCCGCACGGACCGCCGCCAAGAGTTTTGCGCTTCTGCCGATCTGACTGCCGACTCCCACGCTGCGGTGACGCTTCAGCCAAAACGACGATGGCCTCCGCAGAGGCCCCAATAAGAGCGACAGCGAGGGAACGGTACAGATCTGAGCCCATCCTTACGATCGGCTTCGATTGTGCAGTCAAAAAACCCTGATAAGGGCGCGCGGTAAGGACGCAATGCCCTTGGGAGCCAAAGTTGGGATTTCTGGGGGCGGCGGACGACGAAAACCTCAAGGACGCACGAGCAAGGAAGAGCAAGGAAGCGCAAGGGTACCCTGAGCAAAGTCGCGCGTCCCTATTAGGGTTTTTGACTGTAAGGATGGGTGGCAGGGGCGCAGTGCCCTCGGAGGCCGAAGTCGGATTTTTTGGGGCGGAGCGGGCGGCCAGCGGGAACGGCGAAAAGACGGGCCGCAGAGGCGAGGACACGAGGGCACCCTGCATGCAGGCGCGCGCCCTTACTGGGCGCGCTGCCTGCACTCCTCCTGTCCCTGCCTCCCCTGCGTCGGCGGCGGGCCACGGAGAGACACCGGCGCGCGCCAACATGCATTGCTGATCCGCGCGGGCGCGAGGCGGCACGGGAGCTGTGTCTCGAAGGGGAACGACCCCTCGGAACACTGCCCCAGTGCTGCTCGATTTGGCGACGGGGCGCGTCGAATGTGCGCGGCAGCGGGATCCGTCGCTCATCCACACGCCTTGCACCATGTCTGCGTTTCACCGAGGCGACGCCGACGGCGACAGCGCGGCGACGTCGACGACGTCGACGACGGCGGCGACGACGGCGACGCCGCCGACGCCGACGACGACGCGGTCTTCGAAGACGGCGTCTTCGGCGACGACCCGACGACGACGTGTCCTGGCACGATTTAGGATGGTCAGGAAGCAACAGTCATGTTGACCCGCGGCGCTGAAGTAGGAACGTTATCAGGCGGTTCTCGTCTACGCGTCTTGGTTTCTCGGCGACGACGACAGCGGCGACGACGTCGACGAGAACGGCATCGACGACGGCGGCGGCGCGCTATGCCCCCTGGGCGCGGGGCGTAGCGGTGCTCCTCGCCTGTCTGGGTGCTGCAGTAGAACATGAGCCCCGCGCCTGGGGGCCACGCGCGCTCGCGGGGCCCTCGGGGGGGGGAGGATGCCAGAAGCTCCTCCTCCTCCTCCTCCTCCTCCTCCTCCTCCGCACCTCGCGGCTAAATGTGGAACGTGCGCGGCCATCCCGCGATCACTGTTTCTGACAGGGACGGCGGGGGTGGTGGCGCGTGGCCTGCTGTGCGCAGGCCAACCAGACACAATGATGGGCATTGGTTGCCGACAAGGGTGGTTGGGGGCCGACCTGTTTCCCGATGTGTGCTGTCAAGTGCGCAGGCGCACCTGGCGCACTCTGCATGTGCCCCGAAGGTGGCGCACCTGGCGCGGCTGGAGTGTGCGGCACACCTGGCGCATTCGGAGCACGTGGCGCATCTGGCGCCCCAGGCGTGCCTGGCACGCTCGGACCCCAGGGGTGCCTGGCGCGCGTGGCGCCCCCGGCACGCGTGGCGCACATCGCTCAAGCGTCGCGCATCTGGGTCGGCGTTGGTTCCCAATAGCTGCCCATCAAAAGACGACCGCTGAACATGCTTGGGAGGGCGGGTGGGAGTGAGCTAGCCGGCTTGCTGGCGGGCGGGTAGCTTGAACCCTCCGCCGAAACCCTCCCCTGGAACTGCGGGGGTGGCTGCGAGGTGTCAGGATGTCCTTTTTGCCCCAAGATGTCCCCAAGAGGGCCCCATAGAGGCCCAGATGGCCTCCCGAATCGCCCAAGATAGCTGAACAATGCTCAAGATAGCTAAGAACATGTCTTCAAAAGCCTCACGAGGGCCACAAGACGGACCCGAGTGCTTCTGGAGATCCCTCTGGACCTCCCCGGGAAGCCAACATTCGTCAAACAACTTAGAGGCATCGATGACGTTGGCCTTCTCGTCCCTTCGCTTCCGATGCGCTTTGGGGGCTTCAAGATGGTCCCAACATGGCCACAAAAAGCTCCAAGAGAGGCTCAAGAGGCCCCCCAAATGGCCCCAAGAGCGCCGCAGATCGCCGCAAGAGCGCCCCGAGAGGGCCCACATAGGCGATTTCGTGGGTTGTTAAGGGGGGGGGGCTAGATCCAAGACCCCCCCTTTTGATCGATGGCCTCCAAGATGGCCCCTGAGACCCTCCGAAGCTCCCAGGAGAGCCCCATGAGAGCTCCAAGAGGGCTCCAAGAGGGGCCCCAAGAGGGCCCGCAAGAGCCCCAAGAGGACCCCAAGACCCCCCAAAGAGCCCCAAGAGGGCCCCAAAATGCCCCAAAAGAGCCCCAAGAGGACCCCGAAACGCCCCTGAAAAAAACACATAGCTTCAAAAAGGCATCCGATGCTCCAAGGTAGCCTCCAGCTTCGCTGAACGCGTTCCCCCCTCCTCTCTTTGACCGCTCTTTCTTAACTATGTCCGTCTCTGCTTTCAATGTCCCGTCAGCTCGTGTGGACAGGGTTTCTGGATGGGATGGCGGGGACTCGCGAAGCGTACACATTTTTTGTGGCAGCCGTAAGTCGATGTGTTGGTTTACTTTTTTTGTTTGGGAGAGGAGGTTGTTGTGTTTGTTTGCTGTGCGTTGGTGGCGCCTGAAGTGTTTGTGTGTGTGCGCGTGTGTGTTTGTGAATGCGCTTGTTCGACGGTGATGAAGTATGGTGTATGTATGTCCCGTCGTCATTGGATGCATATGTTCTTTCTTTCTGTCCCTCATGCCACGTATTGTGGCATAACACAAAAAAAACATAATGTACAAGCGCACGCGCACGTAGAAATCAACAAGACGAACAGTACATGGTTCGAGCACGTTTGGCAAAACTGGGTGGCAAAACGAACTTGGAGAAATTCACCGCGCAATCGTCGTCTAGAGCGACGGTCTTTGCAGAACGACAACGGCGGCGATTCGACGTAGACCCCGAAGAAACGGTGGGTGGCACCTATTCAAGCCAACTCCTACCACAACTTCGTGATGACATTGACGAAGATACCCGTTATCTTCTTAAATAGGCGTAGAGGTGCCAAAAGACTGGATCGCCGATTTCTTCGGCCGGAGACCAAACATAATCTGGTTGATGGGACGCATTATCCGCGATGAGTTCGAACGCGTGGAGCAAGGCCGCGTCGGCGAGAGGGGCGCGTCGGCAAGCCACTGCTGTTAAAGGCTTGCAGCCCACCGCGCAAACAAAGATCGGGGGGAAAGAAAGGGGGGGATAGCAAAGGGCAGGGTAGAGAATCAGCTCACGTAGCTGATTTTCCCAGCGCCTCCCGGCGCTGGGAGGCGGCCATGTATCGAGGAATGGGCCCGGCGCCGGGGCCGAAACCAGCTGCGTGCAGCAGATTTCGTAACCCCCCCTTCCCCATATCCCCCCTTTTGCTCGGCCCGAAAAGCAGCCACGCGAGCGGTCGGAAAATATTTCGGCCGGGTTGTCCCCGTTAGCGGCCGGGCACCATCGAAATCACGCCGCGCTCCTCTGGACCTCCGAAGCTACGGCGGCTGGAAACTGTCAATGCGTGCAAATGCTCTTCAGAAACATTTGGAATAAGATTCACCATCCCGACATGTTGTCGCACGAGTCCCGCGTGGTCCTCCAAACCGAACCGAAAGCGAGGCACAACACGATTTCCCATTCGCATCTGTGCCTCACATGCACTTCACCATACACTCTGCGTCGTCGTTCGCTCAAGGTTCGCGCCGTCTCCCAGGAGGCTCTCCCTCGGAAGCCTCGTGCAGTCTGGAGAAGGCAACTGCCGCTGGGAGACTGGACGCATCGCTCCCTCCAGGCATGCTCGAATACGGGCACGACAAACTTATGGTGCAGCGGCGACTGGCCTTGCTTGGCAAACCAACGCGTGATCATCTGGGACGCCCTGGCATTATAGAGCAACTCTCATCTGGTCTGCGCTTCAGCTCCAAACCTTTACGTGAGAAAGGCGGAGCTCCCATGTCCACACACGCATCACGATGTGCTTGGCGAGATGCCTATTGTCGCTGCCGAACATGGCGGAGGACACAGGCGCGGACCAGGCAAGTAATGTATCGACCAATGACGTCCTGCTAGAAGAGTTTCCAATGCCTCCCGAAGCAGGCCCCTCCCTTGCCCAACGTGTGCCCCGTGCTGATATCTCAACGTCGCCATTGTAATCAAAAAGTGTTCTCGAGATGCTGCCTGCATACGACTGTCCTCGTTGTATAATGCGCACAGGCGTGGCACGTGGCCATGCGGCAAAGGGCGAGGGCAAACTCAACGCCGTGCGCGTATCTCCGCGTACCCATCCGCGTACCCATCGGTCGGAAGGCGTTAGAAGCAGATTCGGTTTCCGCCCGCCCCCTGAAGAGGGCGGGACGAGGGAAAACCGCTGGACTCTTGAAGTAGGAAGGCGGCTAAAGCAGATCGGGATCCGGGGATCCAAAACTATACACCTTCAACGACCGGCGTGTACTTGACATCGAAGGGCGGCATCACGCCCAACGGGGGCAAAGAAAGGGCCCAGGCGGTCGTCGCCGACGGGGCGCGGCGCACAAGCCACTTGCGCCAGCGCGTGCCCAGCAGATCGCCAGTGCAACCCGTCGAACCAGCGCGACGGCAGCTGCAGCTCATGCTCGGCCACCCGAGCCCGCGAGAAGGTGGCCCCTGAACGAAGAAGCCGCCCCGGGATTGCTGCCAAGAAAACTGATGCACCTTTCTCCTTCCCCGCCCGTGGACTCCGCCCCTCGCCCTCCCTCAAGACTCCCTCCCACCCCCCCGGATCTGCCCACGTGCGCGACCTGACCAAGGTTTCGAGGCGAACCCATAGAGGGCACAACACAAGGCACCAACACCGCTTCTCGGAGAGCCGCGAGAATCTCTTGGATCGGCGCTGAACCCCTTCCCTGGCGCGCGGAGCGCGCCAGGGGCGGGGGCGGCGGCGCCGCCCTGGGGCCCAGCGCCGATCCAAGACATCCGCGCGGACCTCCGAGAAATTGCACCTGTGACGTTTTTTTTCCCTGCCTAGGCTCTGCCTAGAAGGGTTCTTACTCTCTTTGCTTAAAGGGCCGGGCAATGCTAACCGCCCCGGGCGGTTACCCCAGTCCCCGCCCCGCGGTTCCCCCAGTCCCCTGGGAGCTTTAGCCTTAGCTTTAGCTTTAGCTTTAGCTTTCGCTTTAGCTTAGCTTTAGCTTAGCTTTAGTTTAGTGTTAGCTTAGCCTTAGCTTAGCTGTAACTTAGCTGTAGCTTAGCTTTAGCTTAGCTTTAGCTTAGCTTTAGCTTAGCTTTAGCTTAGCTTCAGCTTAGTGTTAGCTTAGCTTTAGCTTAGCTTTTGCTTAGCCTTAGCTTAGCTGTAGCATAGTGTTAGCTTAGCCTTGGCTTAGCCTTAGCTTAGCCTTAGCTTAGCCTTAGCTTAGCTTTAGCTTAGCTTTAGCTTAGCTTCAGCTCAGTGTTAGCTTAGCTTTACCTTAGCTTTAGCTTAGCTTCAGCTTAGTGCTAGCTTAGCTTTAGTTTAGTGTTAGCTTAGCCTTAGCTTAGCTTCAGCTTAGTGTTAGCTTAGCTTTAGCTTAGCGTTAGCTTAGCTTCAGCTTAGCTTTAGCTCAGCTTTAGCTTAGCGTTAGCTTAGCTTTAGCTTAGCTTCATATTAGCCTTAGCTTAGCCTTAGTTTAACCTTAGCTTAGCCTTAGCTTAGCTGTAGCTTAGATGTTGCTTATCTTCAGCTTAGCTTTAGCTTAGCTTTAGCTTAGCTTCAGCTTAGTGTTAGCTTAGCTTTGGCTTAGTGTTAGCTTAGCTTTAGCTTAGTGTTAGCTTAGCCTTAGCTTAGCTTCAGCTTAGTGTTAGCTTAGCTGCAGCTTAGCTGTAGCTTAACTTCAGCTTAGCTTTAGCTCAGCTTTAGCTTAGCTTTAGCTTAGCGGCAGCTTAGCTTTAGCTTAGCTTCAGCTTAGCTTTAGCTTAGCTTTAGCTTAGCTTCAGCTTAGCATCAGCTTAGCTTCAGCTTAGCTTTAGCTTAGCCTTAGCTTAGCTTTAGCTTAGCTGTCGCTTAGCTTCAGCTTAGCTTTAGCTTAGCTTTAGCTTAGCTTTAGCTCAATGTTAGCTTAGCTTTAGCTTATATGTAGCTTTAGCTTTAGCTTAGCTTTAGCTTAGCTTTAGCTTAGCTTTAGCATAGTGTTAGCTTAGCCTTAGCTTAGCCTTAGCTTAGCCTTAGCTTAGCCTTAGCTTAGCTTTAGCTTAGCTTTAGCTTAGCTTCAGCTCAGTGTTAGCTTAGCTTTAGCTTAGCTTTAGCTTAGCTTCAGCTTAGTGCTAGCTTAGCTTTAGTTTAGTGTTAGCTTAGCCTTAGCTTAGCTTCAGCTTAGTGTTAGCTTAGCTTTAGCTTAGCGTTAGCTTAGCTTCAGCTTAGTGTTAGCTTAGCTTGAGCTTAGCGTTAGTTTAGCTTCAGCGTAGCTTTAGCTTAGCTTCAGCTTAGCTTTAGCTTAGCGTTAGCTTAGCTTTATCTTAGCTTTAGCTTAGCTTTATCTTAGCTTTAGCTTAGCTTTAGCTTAGCCTTAGCTTAGCCTTAGCTTAGCCTTAACTTAGCCTTAGCTTAGCTTTAGCTTAGATTTAGCTTAGCTTTATCTTAGCTTCAGCTTAGCTTTAGCTTAGCTTTAGCTTAGCTTCAGGTTAGTGTTAGCTTAGCTTTAGCTTAGTGTTAGCTTAGCTTTAGCTTAGTGTTAGCTTAGCCTTAGCTTAGCTTCAGCTTAGTGTTAGCTTAGCTTCAGCTTAGCTTTAGTTTAGCTTCAGCTTAGCTTTAGCTTAGCTTCAGCTTAGCAGTAGCTTAGCTTTAGCTTAGCTTTAGCTTAGCTTTAGCTCAGCTTTAGCTCAGCTTTAGCTTAGCTTTAGCTTAGATTTAGCTTAGCTTTAGCTTAGCTTCAGCTTAGATTTAGCTTAGCTTTAGCCTAGTGTTAGCTTAGCCTTAGCTTAGCTTTAGCTTAGCTTCAGCTTAGCTTTAGCTTAGCTTTAGCTTAGCTTGAGCTTAGCTTTAGCTTAGCTTTAGCTTAGCTTTACTGTTACTACTAATGCTGCTTTCCTCGGGGCTCCAACTCCTAGGTAGGGTCGCACTGGGATAATTTTGTTCTTCGAACCCAGCCGCTGCGACGCCGAGAGCGCCCGAGGAAGCCCCCGCCGGCCCGAGAGCGCCCAGGGGCCTCTGGTCGTCGACCGTCCTCCTCGCCCTCCTCACCTCTGCCGATGATCATCCCTCCTCCTCCTCCTCCTCCTCCTCCTCCTCCTGCCGAGGATCATCTCTCCTCCTCCTCCTCCTCCTCCTCCTCCTCCTCCCTCCTCCTCCTCCCCTCCTCCTCCTCCTCCTCCTGCCGATGATCTCCCTCTCTCTCCTCTCCTCCTCTGCGATGATCCATCTCCTCCTCCTCCTCCTCCTCCTCATCTCCTCTCCCTCCTCCTCCTCCTCCTCCTCCTCCTCCTCCTCCTCCTCCCCCTCCTCCTCCTCCTCCTCCCCCTCCTCCCCCTGCGCCCCAGGGCGGGGGGGGCGCCCGTGGACTTGTTCTCCACCGACACCGAGAGCTCCGTGGCCGTGGGCTCCTCGGAGGGCGACCGGGGCATGCCGGGCGCGAGATGTGCCGGCGGCGCGCACCAAAGGGGCAGCTGAGCGGGGGCCCACCGCCCGGGCACTCCTAGAGGCCTACCACGACAGGTTCTCAGAACCAAAAAGGTTCTGAGAACAGCAAACGTTTTCAGAACATACAGCGACGTGTTGACACAAGACAGTCCCAGCCAGACACGTTCTCAGAACGTCTCGTGCAGGACACAGAAGGCTCTTAGAAAACTCTTTGATGGGCCTACAAGTAAGCCAGGAAGTTTCGGCACTGCTTGAGGCAGGGGGGAAGGCTTCTTAGAAGGAGGCCGTTACTTAAAGGTGCAGACCTTACATCTACAGGCAAGACCCGAACCTTCTAAGAAGCAGGGCGCTTCTGAGAAGCCTTCCCCCCTCACCCTACCCCCCTCTGCGCGCCGCCGAACAAACGGGGGAGGGAAAAAGGATCGGGGAGGATCGTCACGGCTGTGAATTGAGGCACGGGCGGGTCTCCGTCAGCTGTGTGGGAGTTGCTCGGTGATTGGAGGCTCCGGCCTCGTGACCAAGAAGGGGTCACGGCGGAGCGCTGGTCGATGTTGCACCTGCGAGTGACCCTTGTCCCCTCCCTCGCCTCATACCATGCCATTGTCAATCCGATCGAATATTGGCCCTACGGGTGTAGAGTAAGAACAAACTGCATAGACATACACATTTGAAGGTGGGTGCAGATTTCTTGGGCCTGCGCTGAGAGCTCCGCTCTGGCGTCCGGCACATTCCAAGAGCGGCGCCAAGGGCGGCGCCACAGGGCCCAAGCGCCGATCGAAGATTTCCGCGCGGACCTCCAAAAGTCTATGTTTATGCACGTATGTCAGTCTTCGAGGGTGCCATCCCACGATGTGGACGAACACGCTGGTACAATTGTCCGCTGAGTAAGACGTGTGGCAAAGCAATGGTGTCCAACGTACCCTGCCAAGTGGCCTAACCCCCCGAGGGGGCCGGGCAAGCGGGCCCCGCGGGATGAGGATGCAAGGGGAGGGAGGATTTGTTTTGTTACTGTTTGCTACACCAAGCTAAACTCTGAAAGCAGGCTAAAAGTTACTGGCTGGAAACACGAAGCGGGCTCAATCAAGACGCCATCGCCAAACAGCAAAAACGCTGACTTCTAGCGTGCGCAACGCATGGCCGAAACAACAGGCATAAGCGAAGATGCTCATGCCAGGTCCAACAGAGAGGCGGCGCGCATGGCGGGTGCTACCAGCCACGGATAATCCCGTAGCAAGGCGATTACTTGCACGCCATCAGAAAAACGGCGGAGCAGCTCACAGTCCGAGTACGACAGCGTCTGCGCACCCGCGTCCTCGGTACCGCCCAGCGCTCCGCCAGACACATCGGCGGCAATATCGGACGAGAGTGGACAGACGAAGAAAAGGAAGGGTGCAAGGACGGAGGACAACAAGGAGGATAAGTAGTGGTAGTAGTAGTAGTAGTAGTAGTAGTAGTAGTAGTAGTAGTAGTAGTAGTAGTCGTAGACGTGGTAGTAGTAGTAGTAGTAGTAACAATAGTTATACTCGTAGAAGCAGTAGCAGTAGCAACGGTAGTAGCAGTAGTATTAGAAGTCGTAGTAGTAATAGTAGTAGTTGTTATTGTCGTAGTAGTAGTAGTAGTAGTAGTAGTAATAGTAGTAGTAGTAGTAGTAGTAGTAGTAGTAGTAGTGGTAGTAGTAGTAGTAGTAGTAGTCGTAGTAGTAGTAGTAGTAGTAGTAGTAGTAGTAGTAGTCGAAATACTCGTAGTAGCAGTAGTAGTAATAGCGGCGGTAAACGTCGTAGCGGTCAAAGGAATTGTTATAGTCAGGGGAACAGTAATAATATTAGCAGCAACGCTCGTAGTAGTAGTAGTAGTAGTAGTAGTAGTAGTAGTAGTAGTAGTAATACTAGTAATAGTAGTAGTAGTAGTAGTAGTAGTAGTAGTAGAAATAGTAGTCGTAGAAATAGTAGTCTACTGGTAGTAATACAATGTTAGTAGTGGTCGTAGTAATCCATAGAATTAGGTCTAGTGGGCGTGGTCGCAGTAGTCGTAGTAGTAGTCGTAGTAGTAGTAGTAGTAGTAGTAGTAGTAGTAGTAGTAGTAGTCGTAGTACTAGCAGGTAGTCGTCGGCAGCGTAGCGCTAATAGTAGAAGTGGTATTTAAGGCAGTAGTAACGGTAGCAGCAGCAGTAATAGTAGCAACAGTAGCCGTAGCAGTAGCAGTAGTAGTAGTGGTAGTAGTAGCGGTAGGGTAGTAGCGGTAGTAGCAATAGAACCTGTACTAACAATACAACCGCAACAGCAATCGCAATCGCAATAGAAATCGTAAGAGTAGTAATAACCGAAACAATAGTAATAACACAATAATAGTAATAGTAGTCGGAATTGGCTGTAGTAGTTGTAACCCTAAAGTCGTTAAAGAAGTAGCGGCAGTAGTAATAGTAGTAAACGCCGTAGTACTAGCAGCCGTCGTAGTCATAGTCGTAGTCGAAACCGCAGTCGTTGTGAAAGGACAAGTAGTAGTAGTGGTAGTACTGGCAGTACTAGTAGTAATAATAGTAGTAGTCGTAGTAGTAGTAGTAGTTGTAGTAGTAGTAGTAGTCGTAGTCGTCGTAGTAGTCGTAGTAGTAGGAGTAGTAGTAGCAGTAGTTGTAGTAGTAATAGTAGTTGTAGTGGTGGCCTTCGTAGTAATAGAAATACTGGTACTAGTAGTGGTAGTAGTAGTAGTAGTAGTAGTAGTAGTAGTAGGAGGAGGAGGAGGAGCGATACTAGTAAGAGCCGGGGGGTAGTAGAAGAAGTCGTAGTCGTCGTCGTATGCAAAAAAAAAAAACGTAGTAGTAATAGTAGTAATAGTGTCAGTAACGAACGCGTACACGGAATCGTGATCGTAGTAGCAGTACTGATAGTAGTGGTAGTAGTGGTACGATTCGTGTTAGCAGCAAAATTACTCCGACGGAAAAACCCCACATAAGAATCCTCTGGGCGAATCTGGAAAAAACCATCACCGTCGTCCTCGTGGTTGGTGAGGCGTCCTGGCTGTCTCTTCTGCGTATATTTCTTTTCGCTTTGGCGCGGGCCCCCCTTCCACTCCCTACGTTGTCCCCATCCTCGCCCCCCTGTTTGTTCCGCGCCCCGCCACCTCCTCCCCTTCCTGTTGCATGAGCGCGCATGTCGATGTTCCTCGGCGCCGTCGCCGCCACGGCCAGCACAGGCGCGTTCTCTACTGGTCACGTCGCGCAGCCGTTGGGACAACCCCGCGGGCCAGGCTGTCGGGACAACCCCGCGAGCCGCTGGCGCGCAAGACCAAGCCGTTGGGACAACCCCGCGGGCTTCGAGCGAGGCGCAGCCGCGCTCAGGCGGAAGGCAGCACGAAGCCCAGCTCTGCCGCGAGCTGCTTCGCCTCCGCCCTGGACAAAACCGCTCTCTTGTCGAAACTCCAGGAGCGCCTTCCGCAGGGACGCCGGCGGCCCGCATTCCAGGAACTCTTCGCGGCGGCGGCCGCAGGATCAGCATGTTCCGCATGCACGTGGCGCGGGAAAACATGACGTAGAGGTGCAGCCACCACTGCTCGTCCGACATGCCCGTGCGGCCAGCGTCCTCGTCTCTCGCGCAGTCGATGGTGACGCCCTTGCGCAGCGTCTGGCCCTGCGACAGCGTGGAGGTCAGGTAGGACGCGTGCGTCAGGGTGAACCCTGAGCGGCCCACGCTCGGATTACCCCTTTCGCTGGGCCTGGGCCCCAGCAGCTCCGGGCTCCCGCCTGAGACTCCCCTTGAGATTTCCTCCCATTTCACTCAGACGAGGCTCCCCCCCTGAGACTCCCTCCATATTCAGGCTTGAGGAGCCCAAAAGTGACGACAGTTACAGGGTTCCGATGACCCGCTCGGATTACCAACATGATCTGCGGGCCCCATAGGGAGGGGGCTCCCGCCTGAGCCTTCCTCAGAATTCACTCAGAGACGAGGCTCCCGCCTGAGACTTCCTCCAAATTCAGGCTTGAGGAGCCCAAAAGTGACGACAGTTACAGGTTCCGATGACCCGCTCGGATTACCAACATGATCTGCGGGCCCCATAGGGAGGGGGCTCCCGCCTGAGACTTCCTCGCAGTCCACTCACAGACGAGGCTCCCGCCTGAGACTTCCTCCAAATTCAGGCTTGAGGAGCCCAAAAGTGACGACAGTTACAGGATTCCGATGACCCGCTCGGATTACCAACATGATCTGCGGGCCCCATAGGGAGGGAGCTCCCGCCTGAGACTTCCTCCCAATTCACTCACAGACGAGGCTCCCGCCTGAGACTTCCTCCATTTTCAAGCCTGGGGAGCTCAAAAGTGACGACAGTTATAGGTTCCGATGACCGCTCGGATTACCAACATGATCTGCGGCCCCACGGGGAGGGGCTCCCGCTGAGCCTTCCTCCGATTCATCACAAGGACGAGGCTCCCGCCGAGACTTCTCAAATTTCAGGCTTGAGGAGCCAATTACTCCGACGGAAGAACCCCACATAAGAATCCTCTGGGCGAATCTGGAAAAAAACATCACCGTCGTCCTCGTGGTTGGTGAGGCGTCCTGGCTCTTTTCTGCGTATATTTCCTGTCGCCTTGGCGCGGGCCTCCCTTCCACTCCTTACGTTGTCCCCATCCTCGCCCCCCTGTTTGTTCCGCGCCCCGCCACCTCCTCCCCTTCCTGTTGCATGAGCGCGCATGTCGATGTTCCTCGCGCGTCGCCGCACGGCCAGCACAGGCGCGTTCTCTATGGCCACGTGTCGCGCAACCGTTGGGACAAACCCCGCGGGCCAGTGTGTCGGGACAACCCGGCGCGCTCGGCGCGCAAAACAAAGCCGTTGGGACAACCCCGCGGGCTTCGAGCGAGGCGCAGCCGCGCCAGGCGAAGGCCGCACGAAACCAGCTATGCCGCGAGCTGCTTCGCCTACGCCCTGGGACCCAAACCGCCTGAGACTTAACCTCCAATTCAGGCTCTGGGATCCCAGAAAGGACGACAGTTACAAGTTTCCGATGAACCCGCTCCGGATTACCAACCAGATCTGCGGGCCCAGTCCAGGTTCCTCACAATTCACCAGAGGACGTGAGACGGTTCTTTTTCACCTCCAAATTCAGGCTTGACGAGCCCAAGAAGTGATTACGAGTTGTACCAGTAGAACTACTACTGATTCTGATGTTTGATGATTGATGCTGCTGCTGCTGTTATGCTGATGATGATGATGATGTTGAGCCTTCCCGGAATTCACTCACAGACGAGGCTCCCGCCTGAGACTTCCTCCAAATTCAGGCTTGAGGAGCCCAAAAGTGACGACATCTACAGGATTCCGATGACCCGCTCGGATTACCAACATGATCTGCGGGCCCCATAGGGAGGGAGCTCCCGCCTGAGACCTCCTCCCAATTCACTCAGAGACGAGGCTCCCGCCTGAGACTTCCTCCGTATTCAGGCTTGAGGAGCCCAAAATTGACGACAGTTACAGGATTCCGATGACCCGCTCGGATTACCAACATGATCTGCGGGCCCCATAGGGAGGGGGCTCCCGCCTGAGACTTCCCCACAATTTACTCAACGATGATGAGGACGAGGATGATGAGTGGTGGTGAAGATGAGTGGTGGCGATGATGATGTTTGAATGAGGATGATGCCGGTGCCGATGATGATGATGATGATGATGATGATGATGTTCGTGAGCGTGTGAGAGAGTGCGAGTGATGATGATGATGATGATGAGTATGTGAGTGACTAAGCATGTGAGAGAGCATCATCGAGGATGCTGATGAGGTTGATGATGAGAGTGTGAGTGCGTGTGAGTGAGTGTGTGTGTGTGTGTCCTGGTCCTGTCCTGCGGGGGTGTCCAGAGAAAACAAGAACCCACTTGGGATGTTGGAAAAGTGGCGGACAGTTAAGGTTTCCGCAATGGACCCGCTCGGATTACCAACATGATCTGCGGGCCCCATAGGGAGGGGGCTCCCGCCTGAGACTTCCTCCCATTTCACTCACAGACGAGGCTCCCGCCAGAGACTTCCTCCAAATTCAGGCTTGACGAGCCCAAAAGTGACGACAGTTACAGGGTTCCGATGACCCGCTCGGATTACCAACATGATCTGCGGGCCCCATAGGGAGGGGGCTCCCGCCTGAGACTTCCTCACACTTTACTCAACGATGATGAGGATGAGGATGATCAGTGGTGGTGAAGATGAGTGGTGAAGAGAATGATGATTGATTGTGGGTGGTGGTGGCGATGATGATGTTTGAATGAGGATGATGCCGATACCGATGATGACGATGATGTTCGTGAGCGTGTGAGAGAGTGCGAGTGATGATGATGATGAGTATGTGAGTGACTAAGCATGAGAGAGAGCATCATCGATGATGCTGATGAGGTTGATGATGAGAGAGTGTGAGTGAGTGTGAGTGGGTGTGTGTGTGTGTTCCTGTTCCTGCGCGGGGTGTCCAGAGAAAGCAAGAACCCCACTTTGGATGTGGGGAACTACTAGTAATAGTAGTAGTAGTCGTACTACGACTACGACTACTACTACTACTACTACTACTACTACTACTACTACTACTGCTACTGCTATTACTACTACTTCGACTATTATTACTACTATTACGACTGCAACTACTACTACTACTACTACTACTACTACTACTACTACTACTACTACTACTACGACTACGACTACGACTACTACTACTACTACTACTACTACTACTACTACTACTACGACGACTACTACTACTACTACTACTACTACTACTACTATTACTACTACGACTACTACTGCTACTACTACGACTACGACTACGACTACTACTACTACTACTACTACTACTACTACTACTACTACGACGACTACTACTACTACTACTACTACTACTACTACTATTACTACTACGACTACTACTGCTACTACTACTACTACTGCTACTACTACGACGACGACTAGTTTCTACGACTACTTCCATACCCTCCTACGCCAGCAGTTGGCTCGAACTTCAAACTGCTGGCTTACACCTTGTCAGTGGCTTCTGGTCGTGATCGCCCCCATCATCATCATCATCATCATCATCATCATCAGCATCATCACCACCACCACCATCACCACCACCACCACAGTCATCAGCCGCATCATCAGCATCATCATCATCACCATCATCAGCACAATCATCAAAATCACCACCATCACCACCACCATCAGCATCATCATCAGCAGCATCAGCATCAGCATCATCATCATCATCGTCGTCATCGTCATGATCATCATCATCAGCAGCAGTATAATCATCGTCATCAGCATCATCACCATCATAAGCAGCAGCAACATCATCATCATCCTCAGCCAAAGCGTCACCGTCATCATCACCACCACAATCATCGCCACCACTATCCTAACCACCACCATCATCACCATCACCATCATCACCACCACCATCATCAGCATCATCAGCATCATCAGCATCATCATCTGCATCATCAGCATCAGCAGCAACATCATCATCATCATCATCATCATCATCATCATCATCATCATCATCATCATCATCATCATCATCATCATCATCATCACGGGCATGACCACCACCACCGTCATCGTCATAATGCTGGCCAGCATCGAACTGTGATGAAGCTCTGGGGCGGCAGCGAGTATCGATGATGTACTGTGAATCCGCTGCGCATAGAACCGCGTTTATTCGCCATCATATGGCTGACATCCGCTAGAGTTTGAGAACCCATGTCGCCCTGGATACTCAGGTGATCACACGCCGCGGGGCGGTGGCTCCAGGTTAAGCCAGCAAGCGAACCCACGGCTGTCGGCTTCGTGGTTGCAGGAGGCCGTCACCCATTTGGGCAAGTGAGGCCACAAGAGGGTATTCGGCCGCTGGCCTCTGCCTCACGCCCTCCCTCCGCTCTGAGCCCGTGCTCCGCGGTCTGCCGGTGCCCCCAGTGGGGCGGCACGGCGAGTGGCGCTGTGCAGCCCGTGTCCCGCCGGCACCGTGTCAGCGCCTCCCGCCGCAGTGTGCCACCGAGGGCCCTGCAGGGCATGCCCTCGCCTCGTCGACCTTCGCGCCGAGCTGGAAGCGAGGCCCCACCCGGCCAGCCCAGGCCGTGGCCACTCGATGACCGCGCGCCCGCACGAACCCGAACCGCCCGATGCTGCCAGGGCGGTGTTTGGACGGTTCCACGGGGAGGGCCACCGCTTGAACGATTTGTGTACGGTCGGTTCGTGTCGTCTCGTGTCGACGCGCGGCATCTGCGCCCGCGACCAGTCGCCGCCATTCTCGATGGAGTCCGCGATCGACTGGGCGGGCGCGAGGACAGTCTTCACCTCCTTGACGGACTCGGCTGCGTCCTGCAACGCCTCGGTGCTCTCGCTTTTCGGCGTCGGGGTCGTCCGAAGGTTCCTCTTATGACCCTGGGGAACGTCGCCTTGCTCGTCGGGCTTCCTCTCATGATCCTTGAGCACCTCAGTTTGCGCCTAGATCATGTGGTAGCTGTTCCCGAACGCCTCCCGGTAGATTTTCTGGAAGTGCATGTCACTCTGCCTGTCTTGTCGTCCAGGCGAGCGCACGGCCCGCCAAGCTCGAGACGCTATTGGACCGCACTCGCGCGAACTACGATCGCATCTGGATCCGATCGGGCCGCAGGCCCCCCTACTTCGAAGAGCACCCTGAGGGATGTCGCTGGCTTCCCCTGGCTCGCGAGCTCGTCCTCCGACTCCCTAACGGTCGTCCCCGACTCCACGACCACAGGTTGGCTCTATCTCTGCGCCTATTGCTTTTTCAGAGAATCCGTCCACCCTGTTTGAGGAGGAGGAGGATGAGAAAGAGGAGCAGGAGGAGGAGGAGGAGGAGGAGAAAGAGGAGGAGGAGGAGGAGAAAGAGAGGGAGGAGGAGGAGGAGCAGGAGGAGGAGGAGGAAGAGGAGGAGGAAAAGGGAGGGAGGAGGAGGAGGAGGAGGAGGAGGAGGACATGGAGGCGCTCTGGTCTTCTCCTTGAGCTGCTTCTCCTCGACGACCACGGGGGACTTGAGCTGGCGGCTGGGGCGACCGCCCTGCGCAAACCACATCTCAAAGGGGCTCTTGGGGCCACCGTCCGCGTAAGCCTTCAGTCGCTTGCACCACCTGATGTGGCGGTCGCCTCCTCCTCCTCCTCCTCCTCCTCTCCTCCTCCTCCTCCTCCTCCTCCTCCTCCTCCTCCTCCTCCTCCTCTTCCTCTTCCTCCTCCCCCCTCCTCCTCTGCCTCCTCCTCTCTCCTCCTCCTCCTCCTCTCCTCCTCCTCCTCCTCTTCCTCCTCCTCCTCCCTCCTCCTCCTCCTCCTCCTCCTCCTCCTCCTCATCCTCCTCCTCCTCATCCTCCTTCTCTTCGCCTGTCCTCATCCAAGCGACGTTGACCTCCTTCTTCTCGGACGGAGGAAGCAGTCTGCTCTTGTCGGCATTCGCTGCCATGGGCGACAAGGAGTTGATCGCCCGAGTGAACTTGTCGGGGCTGCTCTCAGCCTCGGCGCGCTGCAGCGGAGCCGACCGCCGAGGAAAGCTGCCGATGCCATCCCCCCTCCTGGCCAGCTTCTGCATCATGTCCCCACTCGCCGCGGGTAGCTTGGCGCGCACCTGGTCGAGCAGCGAGCTCTCCCTCGGCCATCCTGGCGGCGTGTTTTGCCAAGACGGCTGCCGTCCGCGCCCTCCGTTGGGCCGCGCTCCTGCTGTCACAGCATGTCGCCCCGGCCTCCGTCCAAGTCCAGCAACGAGGCGAGGTTCCTCCGCAGCTCGCCACGGTTGCCGTCGGCATCCTCGCGCGCCCACCTCTCGGGCGCCCGGCGCTTTTCCTCGGCCGCCTCCAACACGATCTTCACTCGATTGATATCCTTCTAGATCTCTTGCAGGACCTGACGCTCCCCCTCTGTCTCCTGATGAAGCCGGTCTCATTCCTCGATGACCTTCTTCGTCTCCTCCTTGATGCCCCGATGCTCCTCCATGGCGCGCAGTTTAGTTTCATCCTGCGCCCCTACCTCCACCATCTTCTCACCGATAAGCGTCAGGACCCCCTGGAGAAATCCCCACAATGTGGCAGCGAACGGGCAGGCGCCCCCTTCCCTCTGGCGGCTCTCCCTTCGGGTGCCCAAGTGCTCTGTCTGCTACATCGCGGTGAATTCTAAGTGTGAGTGAGTCTGTCTGAATGCGGATGAGTCTGAGTGTGTGTGTGTGATTTTGAGTGCCAGTGGGTCTCAGTAAGCCTGAATGTAGGAGTCTGAGTGTGAGCGAGTCTGAGTATGAGTACTGTTTCAAATAACGGAATGATGACCACCAATGTGCGTAGACAACCAGGTGCGCCGGCGAAATGCACGAGGCAAACCCAGACTCCCGCGAGGGCCAACCTGCAATAGGCGAGCCAACGCGCGAAACCTTGGCCTGTGCAGTGAAAGCAAAACGCGCGACCGTCTCGGACAAGTGCAGGGCTGTGCCGTGAGCGAGGCCAACATTCGGGCCCAAGATTCTGTCGTGTCGACAAGTGTCGAATCAGGTTCAGATGCGTCCCCTTGCAAAGCCCCGTGGGTCACCACGTAAGAATGCACGGCGCTGACGGCTAGAGAGGGAAGGGAAGGAGAAGGAGAAGGAGGAGGAGGAGGAGGAGAAGGAGTATGAGTATACTTGGTGTGAGGGTATATGAGTCTCAGTGTGAGTTAGCTGGGTACGAGTGGGTATTAGACTAGGTGACCAGAGTAGATCGAACGAGCCTGAGTACGATTGATTTTTATTATCGGTGGATCTGAGAGTGTGGCCTGCGCATTAAGAATGAGACATACAAGTGAGTCTGAATGTCAGTGGGTCTGAGTATGAGTGAGTCTGAGCGTGGCAGGGAGAAAGCAGGTGAGGAGGTAGAGGCATCACAATAATACGAATAGTAACAATGTCAACAAGAACAAGGATACAACTAATACGAATACTGATAGCAATGATAACCATACGAATGCCAATGCTAGAAATAATGATACGAGTATCAGAATAGTAAGGGTAAGGACAGTAACGATAATAACAACAGAATTACGAATAGTTATGATACGAATACGAATGCAAATAGTAATACTAAGAATTTTAACAGTAAAATTAATACGAGTAACAGTCATACGAACCCCTTCATCAGACATAGGGTACTAAAGTCATGATTTTCGTCGACCGAAGTTGGCTGATTCATGGGCATGGCTGGCCTGAGTCGGTGATTTCCCATGATTCAGCGGAGGGCACTTTGCAAGCAGAACGCTATCTAGGCCAGGGCGTACACCCGCCCTCTCAACATAGGAGCCCCTGATCTGATGCCCAGGCCACCTATCTCTGTCATGGTCGCGCCCTCGCGAGGCCTCTTTCAAGAAGTGCAGGTGTCTGGCCCATGCCGCGACGCGCGCAGCGCGATCATCTTCGCACCCCTGCGGGTGACCTAGGATACCAGCCAAGATGCCCAAATAGCCCACCGCCTATCATCATCAGACCTGATCATCACCGTCGTCGCCACCATCACGAGCGAGCATGAAGGTCGTCATGACTGTCGGCATCATCATCGTCATAAACATTTTCAGGATCATCGCCCTCATCCTCATCAGAAGCCTCCTGTTGGCGGCAATAGACGCCTGCATTCTAGTCTTGACGATGTAGCCCTTGCTGAGGCCCTTCAAGGCATACGTCTCGTGAGTAGCCTGGGCCCGGGCACAGGGCAGGCGACATCTCCAACCTCGCACCACCCCGGCCGCGACTTTTGGACGGGCCTTCGCGAGCCATCTCCAGGGTCTCACCGTGGACGAGGAAGGAGGAGGAGGAGGAGGCGGATGAGGAGGATGAGGAGGAGCAGGACGAGGAGGAGGAGGAGGAGGAGGGATGAGGAGGAGGAGGAGGAGGAGGAGGAGGCGGAGGATGAGGAGGAGGAGAAGTAGGAGCAGGAGCAGGAGGAGGAAGAGGAGGAGGACAAGGAAGATGATGGGGGACGCTCCATTTTCCTTCACTCTTCTGTTTTGCACAGGCCGAGGAAAGGAGGAGGAGAGGAGGAGGAAGGAGGAGGACGAGGACGAGGAAGGAGGAGGAGCAGGCGGATGAGAGGAGGAGGAGGGAGAGGAAAGGTGGAGAAGCGAGCGGATGAGGAGGAGGAGGAGGACAGGAGGAGAGGAGGAGGAGAGAGGAGGGGGAGGAGGAGGATGAGGAGGAGGAGGAGGAGGGGAAGGAGGGAGGAGGAGGAGGGATGAGGAGAGGAGGAGGAGGAGGAGGAGGATAGGAGAGGAGGAGGCTCTCCTGCCCCCCCCCCCACACACACCACCCCCGCCTGCACATCTCTCTCGGCCTCGGGGGGGGGGGGAGAAGGCCGGTCCGCTGCGCCTGGGCAGGGCGGCTGGCCGCAGCCCCCCCCTTGCGCCAAGCCACGCCGGCCAGCGCGGGGCAGCCATGCCAGAATGCAAGAGGAAGCGGAGGAGGAGGAGCGGGTGGAGAGAGGAGGAGGGGGAGGAGGGAGGAGGAGGAGGAGGAGGAGGAGGAGGAGGAGGAGGAGGAGGGAGGAGGGAGGAGGAGGAGGAGGGAGGAGGAGGAGGAGGAGGAGGGAGGAGGAGGAGGAGGAGGGAGGAGGAGGGAGGAGGAGGAGGAGACGAGGAGAGGCCGAAACGCGAGACGCGGCCTCTCTCTCTCTCTTTCTACATATCTCTCTCTCTCTCTCTCTATATATATATATATATATAGATAGATATGGCCTTTCTCTCTCTCTCTCTCTCCCTCCCTCTCTCTCTCTCTCATTCTTCCCCCTCTCTCTATCTCTCTCTCTCTCTCTCTACGGGCCCCTCACGCCCGCGAGAATTCAGCACCAATCGAGAACGCAGCGTGCCTCCGTGCCGCCTTCATATGAGGCACACACGCACACACGCACGCACGCACGCATGCGCACGCACGCACGCATGCACACACACGCACACACGCACACACACACACACACACGCGCGCGCACTCCCGAAATATATGTATGTATGTCTACATATATATATATATACATACACACACCATACAAACACATATATACATATATACACATATACACATATGTATACACATATATATACATATACATATATATGTATATATATAAACATGTCTACATTTCTACATATACATATCAACACATATAAATATACCACTCACGGTCCCCAGACGCCACCCTCGCCCTCATTGTTGTCGTCATCCACTCCCTGCGTTGAGCACGTATGGACATCTGGGGGGCCCCCCACACAACACGGCCTGGCCACTCGCGCCGCAGCCGGGGCCACCCCACTCCGAGGCGGTCCGTCCGAGGCCGTCCTGGGGCAGTCCGAAGCCACCGGAACGCCGACCGAAGGGACGAACGAATGAAGGACCACCGCTCCGAACGACTTGAACGCCGAACGAACGAGCACCGCAAACGAGCGAACGAACGAATGGCCCTCGAAATTGCCGCCGAAGGATGGCAAGTATCGGACAGGGGCGGCCCCAGGAAGAATCGCAAGTATCGGGACAGGGGCGGTCCCAGGAAGACTCCCTTCTCTTCCCATCCGTGTCCCTCCCTGCCTTCCCCCGCTGGGCGCTGCGCATTGTGCTCGTATAGCTCCACGGTGCCAAAGCCGCCGCAGCCCAGCAACCCGATGCGGCGCAGGTCCTACAGCGCAGGGGAAGGACTTGCTGATCCTCCTAGTCCTCCTCCTCCTCCTCCTCCTCCTACTCCTCCTCCTCCTGCTCCTCCTCCTCCTCCTGTCTCCTCCTCCTCCTCCTCCTCCTCCTCCTCCTCCTCCTCTCTCTCCTCCTCCTCCTCATCCTCCTCCTCCTCCTCCTCCCTCCTCCCTCCTCCTTCCTCCTCATCCTCCTTCCTCCCCCAACCCCCTCCATTCTCGTTCCTCCTCCGCTCCTCCACCCTCCACCCTCCTCCTCTCCTTCCTCCTACTCCTCCTCCTCCTCCTCATCATCATCATCATCCTCCTCCTCCTCCTCCTCCTTCTCCTCCTTCTCCTCCAACATCCTCTATGTCCACATCCTCTCTTCCAAGACGAGAGAAGGTCTGGCTCTCTGCGCTTGTCTGCTGAGATCGATCTCGACGAGCTCCTGGACGCCTAAGCAGGCCCCCAAACACAGATATCCCAGGATCCCGAAGCGAGCCAAGCCAGCCCAGGAAAGGTCCAAAAACGCTCCAAGAAGACCCCATGGGAGCCCCAAGAAACCCTCAGGACGGCCGCGAGGGCCCTCAGAAAGCAACCCCATCCCCCACCCCCCTCGAAAAAAACGAGTGGCGCTCAGGCTGGCCCAAAAGGCGGCATGAGAGACCCGAGCATCTCCTGGAAAACCGCAAGAGGCCCCGAAGGAATCCCGAGACGTCACAGAAAGATCCAGGAATATGCTGAGGCCTTCCTGCAGTAGAAACTCGAGCAGAAGGGCAGCTAGCGCAGCGCCACTCCAGATGTCGCTGTCCGCGGGCCCAAGAGATGCCCAAGTCTTCCAAAAATCTCGGTCCTTGAACTCGATCCTCGAATGAAAACGTCGTCGACGACGACGACAAGGATCGAGAACCACCTTGGCCTCGGAGGTCTACATCCTGACTCTGGATCCGCCGTACTTTGGACGATTTCGAAAGTACGGCGGAAATTCCCGCCCTAAATTTCAAAATCCTTTGACGTCGATTTCCGCCCTACTTTGCCGCCGGTGTGGTGTTTCCGCCATACGCTCGCGGAAGTGTCCGCCCCACTTGTCTTGAGGCACCAAGTTCCGCCCTGCCTTTTTCGTACCCTCTGGGGTGCATTACCGAAGTACGGCGGATCTGGAGTCAGGGCAAAGGCGCCCGAGAGGCCTCAGAGAGGCCCCGCTGCCGTCAGCGTCGGGAGGGACGAGAACGAGGAGGGAGGATCGGACACCTCAGATCTCACTGGCCTCGGGACGCCGCGCAGCGCAGCGCCCCGAGGGGACGCTCTTCGAGGGCCCCGAAGAGTGGCCGCCTGCCCCGGGCGAGCCGCCGCGAGGGGCTGAGGACCGTGGCATCCGCTGTGTTACGCCCGCTGCTGAAAGCCGCCGGTCGTTCGGCCGCGCAGCTGCTGCAGATGTTCGGGTCTCGGGCTGTAGGCTGTGGACAACTGACACTCCAGCGGAAGCCCAAGCTGAAAAGGAACCACCCACCATACCTGTAGCAGCTGCGAGCTTTCAGGACGGATGTGAACGGCGCTGCAGCGCGTGCTGCCGGCCCGCACCCCCAGAGGTCCGAGCAGACGGGCACGGCGAGCCGCAGCAGCCGCCGCCCCAAACTGGCAGCAGCCAGCCGTGAGCCGTCGCCTCGACCGACGGCAGGGCGAGGGCAGCGACGCCCCCGCGGCGCCGCGGGCGCCGAGTGCACCCCTCACGCCGCGCCGATCGAGGCGGGCCCCGGTGCTCGCCCGGCTCCGTGCCCTGGCCGCGGCCGAGTCGCAAAACGCGGAAGGCACCCGGGCCACGATGGCCCGTGTGCGACCCCGTGGCCCACAGTGGCCCTGGCCACGCGCGCTCCGTGGTGCTCACGGCCAGCTGGTCTCCGACACCGCCTGGATCGCTCAGCCTCGAGGGAGCGAGGCGCTCCGACATCGCAGGTCGCTCGCTACCGGCCGCTCTGGGCACTGGCGGCGATCAAGCCTGCACGCCCGCGATGGGGCCGCCGCTGCGTCAGCGCGGCGCGAGCCTGCCGCATGTGTGGAGCGTCTCTCCTACTCCAGGAGCATCTCCTGGGGTGCGCTCTGACCAGCATCTCGAGGAGGATCCAGCCGCGGCGACGAGGGCATCCTCGGCTACACGCAAGCGTGACCCTCGGCAAGGAGTGACCTTTGGTACGCGGCTTCAGGGGGCCACGGGGGGACCAACTTCAAGCGCGCAGTGCCAAGGGGACCCCAGTGGGCCCGCACCCCAGCGAAGGGTCACGCATCCACGTAGCCCATATCCAGGACGAGCAGCAGCATCGGCGCATACTCCTCCGCTGAATGCGCCCCCCGGCGCTGAGCTGCGACAGGCTGAGCTCCAGGCACCCGGGCTGAGCCGCCTCTGGCCTGGCCTGCGGCTCCGCCTCCGGCTCGGCGCCGAGGCGCAGGCTGCCGTGCCAGACCCTCTGGCCTGGCCGGCACAGGCCGCGAGGGGGCCGCGGCCGTGGCGGCCGCGGCCGCGGCGGCGGCGGCGCTCTCTTCGGCACAGAGGTCGCGCTGCGCCTGGCGAGCACGCTCCGCCTCGACGCGTGGTGAGCACATCGGGGGTCACACTGTGCGAGGCTGCGGCCGTGCGGGCGCGCTCGCGCGCGAGAGGGCAGAGCGCTGCCACGCTTCAGGGCCGCCGAACTCGGGCAAGAACGGCAACGGAGGCCGTCTTAGATCCATCCTGGGGCATCCTGGGCCGGCCCCGTTGGGCTGCAGAGGGCTCCTATGGAGGCCCTCCCTCTTCGGACATCAGGAGGCTTCTCGTGGCAGTCCTGCGCCACATTGGTACGTTCGCGGCGCCCTCTTCGGAGCATGTTGGCTCCTCCCAGACTCGCCAGAGGCCACATTCAATCGAGAAATCTCGCAAGAACCTAAGGGTCCCGTGAGGGACCTCTTGACGCTTCTTGAGGCAATGTTTGGGCCCTCGTGGAGCCTCTTTGACCCTCTTGCTCTCTTGGGGTCGTGCGGAAGACCTCTTTGTACCTGTACGTCGTGCACTTGGGCTTCCTCGGGCCATGGGAGCTCCTGAAAGAATCGGAGGCGGCTCCGGGGAGGCTCCAGGGGGGGAAAGGGCCATTGCCTGCGCCGCCGGAGGCTGTGCAAGCAGCACACTGGCGTCACGAACGCCCGACACGGCGGCCCATGCGAACAATCAGAACGACGACGACGATTGTGACGCTCCACTGTGATAGCAGCTATGGAGAAGACACCGGTGGATACCGCATTGAGAGAGTCACGGGCTCCGAGGGAGAGGGGATGCCAGACTGACGGCAAGTGTTCGGGGCGCGTGCTCCACCAGGTCCTTGCGGAAGATCTTGTCCCTCGGCTGGGTGGAGTCGGCGAACTTCGACATGTCCCCCTTGCGAGGCAAAGAAACAGGATCAACGCGCAATGCGGGGCAGAGGGCAAAACCTAACGTCATTAATTTATCGACCACCACAGCCACCTCCTCATCGTTCCTTCCCGACCCTCCTCCTCTTCCCTGTCTTCCTCCTCTTCCTCGCCATCATCGTCGCCACCATCATCAGCAGCATCAGCATCAGCATCAGCATCAGCATCAGCATCAGCATCACCATCATCATCATCATCATCATCATCATCATCATCATCATCATCATCATCATCATCATCATCATCATTATCATCATCGTCATCATCATCATCATCATCATCATCATGCCAGTAATCCTCCTGTTGCTACGTGATTGCTCCTCCATTTCCCCCTCCGCTCCGGACCCCCTGAGACGTTTCAGGGGGTCCGCTCCGGACCTCCTGGAACGGCCTAGCAGGAGTGTCAAGATGACGATGATGGCGTTGATGGTGACGATGATGACGATGACGGCGTGGTGTTGCAAGCTGCGAAAGAGCGCCCGCGGTCGTGCCGAGCCGCAACTGCGTGCGTTCGCCCGCACCTTTACGCTTGGCAGTGCGGGCAGGTCCGTTGCCTCCGCCCCCTCTCCCCCCCCCCCCTCACCCCCCGTGCGCCTCCTCAGTCGAAAGCAACATGGTAACGTCACACTGCACATCGCGGCCATACACGGGATGTACTGCGATGGTGTGGAGAAGGATGGAAGTGAAGTGTGATGCGAAGTCCTGTCGAGGTGGCCCGCAAGGGGCAGGAACCTACGTGAAACCCTCAGGAGTCGAAGTGCGCCTTCACCGAATACGAAAGAGAATTTGCCGTTAGACTTGACCAATGATCTGCGTCCCCAGCAAGAAGCTGCCACTCTCCCAGCCCCTGGTCTCGGCAAAATCTCCTCACAGAGTCCCCAAAAGGCATCCACCTGCGACTTGACGGATGCGTCGGGCAAGTCAAGTATTGCCGACAAGTCTGCCAGGAGGAAAAAAGGGGCGTACACACCCTGAGCCCGTGGCAACGGAGGAACGCACGTGTTTGCGTCCCCCCGGAAGCCTTCCTTCTAGAGTTGGGGAGGGAGGAGACAACGCTGCACTCTGACACCTTACGCTGGCCCAACATGCCTCGGAAAAAATGCCTCGACATCTGTTTGGTCGGCAATCCACAGAGGTACCAGGGACTACCGAGGCCCGAAAAAGAGTGAGCCCAAACGGACCCATTCCCCGAGAATCGGCCCGGTATTGGAGGCTCACAGGCCCCCTGCCGGGCGTCAGGAGTGTCCCTCGTCGACGTCTCTTGGCCCTCTCCGCTTAAATCGAAGAGACATGATGGCCGCTCCAATCTGAAACGCTGGTCTCTGTACCGCACCGCGCATAGTTCGTGTAAATTGTAAAAGTCAAGTTTGTTTCCAAACTTGCCTTTCGGCATGAAGTTCAGTTCCGAACTCGCGGACTGCGCCACGACTGCAGACGCTCGCAAACTGCTCCTCTCCGAAGTCAATCTGCGCGTCTAGATGCGAGGCGCAGACAGAGATAGTGGCGAGTTAGAGATGCAAGATCGCCAGAAATAAGGCGACACTCACTCAAGACTTGACTTTGTGATCTTCCGGCCTCGACTATAAGGGGCCTCTGAGGGGCGCGAAAGAATCGGCATCATGGCGGAAAAATTGTTGTCGCCCAGACATCACTTCCTGAATGAGGCCCCTATCATCCCTTGTGCGTGGCCATCAGCAGCCGTGTCACGCGCATCACGCAGCTGCATGTTGTATGCGTTATCTACGACTCACGGCAAATTTAACATCACAGGTGATTCACGAGCGATTTCAACGCCCCCTTTCGCCCATTCAAGTTCGCCCCCTTCAATGTCGAGCCAGAGCGAAACGCTGTCTGGGCGGGCGCGACTCGGGAGTTCCACGATGACTGGCATCAGAGGAAGGGCACCAGCAACGACCTCGCGCGCAATCTCGCCCGAACCCAGGACATCGCAACGACGAGGACACTGCGTGGCACATGTTTGAGGTTAACTTGGTCGAAGGTAGTTCGTTACGACTTTCGTCATTGCACATGTTCGATACGCCGCTTCGCCCTCCCGCTCCCTGCGTCTAGAGGCCTCCTAGATGAGGTCGAAGTAGATGCGGTCGGAGGATCGCGCCGCATCGCCGATACATCGGCGATACATCGGCGATGCACGGGCGATGCACCGGCGACGCATCGTCGATGTCGGCGATGCTTCGGCGACGTCGACGTGAAGTAACTCGGGGACCGCATCGAGCCGCATCGCCGATGCATCGGCGATGCGGCGCGATCCTCCGACCCCACCTTCTCGGGCCCCATCTGGGAGGCCTAGAGAGTCCTTCCACTTCATTCCTCCGCCTCTCCTCCTGCTCGCCCTGCGGCGGAGGTGGCACGCGGGCCCGATGCTGCACGCCAACGCCAGGGGCCCGCGCCCGCGGCCACGCCGCCTCCCGCCCGCCCCCACGGCCCCCGCCGCCGCCGCCCCGTCGCCCTGCCTCGAAAGGGCCGCCGAGCGGCGGGCCGCTGGGCCCGCGCGCTCCTGGCCTCCCTCCAGTCCATGCCTTCGCCTCTCTCCGCCCACAGATCTGCTGCGCGTGCCGCCTGGGCTCCAGAGGGCCTGCCGGGCCACCGCGGCCCTGGGCCTGGGCGGCCCCCCGCGGCGCGGGCGCGGACGCGAGCAGGCGGCGCCCGGGCTGCCGCTCGCGACGACGAGGCCCGCCCAGGGCAGCTCGGGGAGGGGACTTGTCTAACAGAGGGGGCCTGTGTAGTAGAGAAGGCCGGTGCAGGTGGAGCGGCACTTCTAGTATCAAGGGAATGGTTTACTCTGCCCGGGGAAGGGCCTTGCCTCATGCAGGGTGCTGCAGGAGGAAAACGTCCAACGCCACGTAACTTGTATTCACTAGCTCGGCATGGAGCCTTGTCTAACACAGGGTGCTCTGCAAGAGGAGGGGCACGTCAAGCACCAAGAAGTTTTTGTTCATCAGTTTTGGAAGGGGCCTTGTATAGTAGAGGGTGCTGCGCAGCAGAGGGTGGCTGTGAGCGGTTGCCCTCCTCTGGGCGTTCGGGCAAGCGTTTGTCTATATTTGACCGTGCTCACTGGTCGGACTCCCGCAATCTTTCCAGGGGGCACAATGGAAAAAAAAACACCAAACGAGCAGATCTCTTTGGAACCTCAAATTGCACTGACGCCTGGGAAGACCCCCCATCCTCCTCCTCCCACCTACTCCTCGCCCTTGTCAACATTCCCGTTCCTCCTACTCATCTTCCTCACCTTCCTCGCCTGCCTCGTCTTCCTCTCTGTTCTCCTCATCCTCCCAATCGTCGTCGTCGTCATTATCATGGCCATTGCCATCATCGTCATAGCCACACTATCACCATTTCCATCACCATCATCAAACTAATACCCATCCCCAGCATCATCATCCCTATCATTATCATCACCATCATCGCCATCATCAGCATCATCAACATCATCATCATCAACACCGTCAGCATCCCCAACATCACCATCATCACCATCATCATCGATGTTATCCTCACCATCCTCAACATCATTGTCGCCGTCGTCATCACCACTACAACCACTACAACCACCTCCGTCATAATCAGAATCAGCATCATCATCACCATCATCATCAGCATCGTCATCATCACAATCACCATCGCCACCATCATCATCATCAGCAGCAGCAGCATCAGCATCAGCATCAGCATCATCATCATCAGCATCAGCATCAGCATCACCAGCATCATCAGCAGAATCATCATCATCATCATCATCATCATCATCATCATCATCATCATCATCATCATCATCATCATCATCATCATCTTCATCATCTTCATCATCTTCATCATCAGCATCATGCCCAATGTCAGGTGTCCGCTGTCCTTGCCTGGTGTCCCAATGTCCAAAATCTGGTGTCCAGTGTCTGGTGTCCAATGTCCCGTGTCCCGCGACTGGCATCTGGCGTCCGACGTCTGCTGTCTGGTGTCCAATGTTCTGGTGTCCAGTGTCTGGTGTCCCTTGTCTGGTGTCTGGTGTCTGGTGCATAGTGTCCAATGTCTGGTATCTGGTGTCCGTATCTGGTGGCTGGTGTCTGGTGTCCAGTTTCTGGTGTCAGGTATCCGGTACCTCGTGCTCAATGTCCGGTGTCTGGCGTCCGGTGTCTGGTGTCTGGTGCATGTGTCTGGTGTCTGGTGTCCAATGTCCAGTGTCTGGCGTCTGGCGCGCGAGAATCGCTCTATACCCACGTCTGGCGTCTGGTGTCTGGAATGTCCGCTGTCTCGTGTCCAGTGTCACGTGTCTGGTGTTCGTGTCAAGTTTCCGGTGTCTGGCGTCTGGTGTCCAGTGTCCGGTGTCTGGTGTCCAATGTGCAATGTCTGGTGTTCGTGTCGGGTGTCCGTCCGGTTTCCGGTGTCTGGCGCGCAACAATCGCTTCAGTAACAACGAGGCACCTCACGACTGCAAAGCAGAACCTGGAAAGCCCGAGTGTGAAGCAAATACTTCCAGTGAAGCAACGAGGACGGGGAGGAGGAGGAGGAGGAGGAGGAGGAGGAGGAGGAGGAGCAGCAGGAGGAGGAGGAGCAGCAGGAGAAGGAGGAGGAGGAGCAGGAGGAGCAGGAGGAGAGGAGGAGGAGGAGGAGGAGGAGGAGGAGGAGTGGAGGGAGGAGGGAGGAGGGAGGAGGAGGAGGAGGAGGGGAGGGGAGGAGGAGGAGGGAGGGAGGAGGGAGGAGGAGGAGGGAGGAGAGGAGGAGGAGGAGGGGAGGAGGAGGAGGACGGGGAGGAGGAGGAGGAAGGAGGGAAGAGGAGGAGGAGGAGGGAGGAGGAGGAACAGGAAGCAGGGGAGGAGGGAGGGAGGGAGGCCGAGGAGCGGGGCGAAGACGCTCGGCGTGGCAGAGCTGCGGCGCCCGCATCTCGGGGCCGGGGCGCAGGGCCGAGCACGGCGCCGAGGCGGTGGTGCACGGCGCCGGACGGCGCGGGCCACGCCCGCGCCCGGCCTGCCGCGCCCAGCGCCTCGGGGCAGCGGGGTCCGCAGAGATCCAACGCATTGAAAAAAACCAGACGCCGGTTTTCCCCAATTTTCGGCCCCAAGGGGCCCTCGCTGGGCCCCGGGACCGTCAGAAAACGATTCGGGGTGAAAAACGGGTCCCGGGGAATGGGTCGAGACCTCTGGGGACGCCGTATTGAAAAAATCACGACGTCGGATGTCCGGGTCCGAGCCCCAGGCGTCGCCGGGGGCGCGGGGCACGGGAAGCACCGAGGCGGACATCCGCGCCCCACAGGCGCCACCGGGGGATCGGCGCCCCTCAGGCGCCCCCGGGGGGCCGAGCCCCAGGCGCCACGAGGGGCGCGGGCAGCACACTTCTGGCCCCCTCGCGGCGGCGCGCGCGGCGGCGCGGCGCAGGGCTTCGATAGTCGAGCGGGAGCGCGCGGGCCGGGCCAGCCCACGCAGCGCTGGAGCAGCGGGGCACGGAGAAGCAGAGCGACGGTGACGAGCCGAGGCAGCAAGCGAGGCGCAGCAGGAGGGCGGCAACGGCAACCGACCAGGAAGGACAGTCAAGGCAGCAAGGGCAGCACAAACGCACACAAGTACACTTCTCCGACGCGCTGAAGAAACCAGTCAGCGATAGAAGACAACGGCGGGATACGCTCAAAGTGCTTGGCCTCCTTATGAAGCCACGTGGAAGAATCGAGTCCCTGGGAGATCCCGCACACGCACGCACCAGACCACGCGAGAGACGGCTGCCCCGCACGCCATCGGAGAGCCAGATCGGGATGGCGGGCCGGGCCGAGCGGCGATGCCGACGCCGGGCGGCGGCCTTGCCCACATTGCTCGTGCGCCTCTCGCCCTTCTCCTTGGCGCGCTCCATCAAGTCCTGGGACGGATGGCGCGCCCGCCCCTCGAGGGAGCGCCATCGTCGTCGTCGTCGTCCAGGATCGAAGATCCGAGTTGTGGCCCTTTTGTTGGCCCCTTCGGGGCCGATAGAAACCTACAGAGGGCTTCCGAGGACCTCCTCGAAGTTCATAAAGCGCCAAGCCATAGCCTTCCAGAGGTCATGGCAAGCTACCCCCCTGCTCCCCCTGCTCCCTGCCAGCACGATCCTCCTCCTCCTCCTCCTCCTCCTCCTCCTCCTCCTCCTCCTCCTCCTCCTCCTCCTCCTCCTCGGCCTGTGCAAAAACAGAAGAATGAAGGAAAATGGAGCGTCCCCCATCATCTTCCTTGTCCTCCTCCTCCTCCTCCTCCTCCTCCTCCTCCTCCTCCTCCTGCTCCTCCTCCTCCTCCTCCTCCTCCTCTTCCTCCTCCTCCTGCTCCTGCTTCTGCTCCTCCTCGTCCTCCTCCTCCTCCTCTCCTCGTCCTCCTCGCTCCTCCTCCTCCTCCTCCTCCTCCTCCTCCTCCTCCTCCCCTCGTCCTCCTCTTCCTCCCTCCTCCCCTCCTCCCGCTCCTCCTCCTCGTCTCTCTCCTCCTCCTCCTCCTCCCACTCCTTCCTCCTCCTTCCTCCTCCTCCTCCTCCTCCTCCTCCTCCTCCTCCTCCTCCTCCTCCTCCTCCTCCCCCCTCGTCCTCCTCTTCTCCTCCTCTCCTCCTCCCTCCTCCTCCTCCTCCTCCTCCCTCTCCTCTCCTCCTCCTCCTCCTCCTCCTCTCCCCTCCTCCTCCTCCCTCCCTCCTCCTCCTCCTCCTCTCCTCCTCCCCCCTCCCCCTCCCCCCCTCCCCCTCCCCTCCCCCTCCTCCTCCTCCTCCTCCTCCTCCTCCTCCTCCTCCTCCTCCTCCTTCCTCCTCCTCCTCCTCCTCCTCCTCCTCCTCCTCCTCCTCTCCTCCTCCTCCTCCTCCTCCTCCTATCCCTCCCCTTATAGAGAATTTCTCCACGTCGCGCCTCGAAGCTGTGCCGGCAGGGCGGGCCGGGCGTCTCGCCCGAGACTTCCTCGCAGGACCCTTACGCGTCGGTCGGAAGAAGTAGGTAGAAACATGAAGTAGGCATGCGCGATAAGGATGCAAGGGCCTTGGACGCCCAGTTCGAAGCTTTTCGAGCGGGGCGCAGCCAACGAAACTGGCCAAGGATGGGCCGAGGAGGCAAGGATGCAAGGGCGCCCTTGAGCATGCTGCCCATCCCTACTATGCGGGATGACTGTATAGTGGATTGGGTCCAGGTCCTCCCAGAGAATAGCAAAACACAGCAGAAGCATGTCGACTCTTGAGGTAGGAAGGCGCTTGGAGCAGATTGGGGTCTGGGAATCTAAAAATACGTACTTTCAACGACCGTCGTGTACACTGAAACTTGCAACAGTCTCACGGATGGATGGCGGGTCGTTTTCAAAATGTGCCTCTCGCCGTGGCACCGCGCACATTCGTTCGAACAAATTCTGCAGGAGCTCACGGATGGAGGACGGGCGCTTTTCAGACTGTGGCTCTCGCCTGAGCGGCGCGCAAATTCATCCAGAAAGCGGCAAGAGCTTCACGGATGGAGAGCGGTACCTTTGCGAAGTGTGGCTCTCGTCTTAGCGCCGCACAAATTCGCCTTGGAAACATGCAAGAGCTTCATGGATGGCTGTTTTCAAAATGTCGCTCTCACCGTAGCGATGCGCAAATTCGTCCTCAAAGTTTGCAAGAGCTTCACGGATGGGAGGCGGTACCTTTTGTTAATGTGGTTTTCGCACTACCGCCGCGCAGATTCGTCTCGCCTTAAGAGTATACTACAGTTTCAAGGGTTCTTATGGTTGGCGTACTAGAAACACTCTTTCGACACGATGTAGGAGTGTCGAACGGTTACGTTGACTCGCGGTGTTGAAATCCCAGGACTTGGATCGCCAAGACGCTGCAGTAACGTAATTCGCGGGGGTGAAGTCCCAGGAACGGTGCTCGGGCACGGTTCAGGATTTTCAGACGGTTGTCTTCCAAGGGGGCACTTCCCTCAGTGAAACGGGTCATTCTAGGGACCTCTGAAGAGGGAACCTGGTTGACTGCAACACCGTTGATGAATATTGGGATTGCACACGTCCTCCTCCTCATCCTCGTCATCAACACCGCCACCATCATCAGTAGCACTCGTATCATCATCAGATTGAACATCGTCACCATCGCCATCAACATCAGTATCAGCTGCATCAGCAGCAGCAGTATCACCATCGTTTTTTGCCAGCATTACAGCCACCATCATCATCACCAGCGTCAGCATCCTCATCATCCTCATCATCATCACGATCACCATAATCACCGTAATAATTCTCATCATCATCAGCATCAGCCTCACCCTCACCCTCACCCTCACCACAGCAGCAGCATCAGCATCACGATCCTGAGCCTCATCGTCAGCAGCAGCATCATCCTCATCATCATCAGCATCATCATCAGCAACAGCATCATCATCGTCATCAGCACCATCATCATCAGCCTGATCATCATCATAATCAGCACCACACGTATGAGCATCACCATCATGGTCATCATCATCATCATCATCATCATCATCATCATCATCATCATCATCATCAGTGTCAGCATCGTCATCATCATCGTCATCACAGTCGTCATCATCATCACCACCATTACCAGCATCAACACCATCACCATCACCACCAACGCCATCATCATCACAGCAATCAACATCACAATCATCATGATCATCATCGTCATCATCAGCATCACCATCACCACCACACTCATCGTCATCATCATCATCATCATCACCATCATCGGCATCATCATCTTCATCAGCCTCAACCACACCCTCGCCCTCACCCTCAGCATCATCATCATCATCATCGTCGTCATCATCGTCATTATCATCATGATATTCATCAGCAGCACCAGCAGCAGCATCAGCATCATCATCATCATTGTCATGGGCATCATCATCAGCACCAGCAGCAGCACCACCAGCATCATCATCATCATCATCATCATCAGCAGCAGCACCAGCAGCATCATCATCACCATCAACAGCATCATCATCAGAATCATCATCATTGTCATGAGCATCATAAGCACCAGCAGCAGCATCAGCATCATCATCAACACCATCTTCATCATCATAACCATCACCATCGTCATAATGATCATCATCGTCATCATCATCATCCCGCTATTTCCCTGCGCTCCGACAGGGGGCCCAGCAGCATGTTGAAGGCGTCGCGGTCAAGGACCTGTGCGACAATCGCTCGGGTATATTCCACCGCTTGCTCCGCTCGCTTGGGCTGTCCGAATGGGTTCCTGCTGATTCTCCCGCGCCGCCAAAAGATGATTCTGCTTTGGCCAAGTCAAAGTCGGATCCCAAACCCATCAGAGGTGACATCCTGACCAGCTTTCGAAGCCGCCCGCGTGTGGCCGCCCCAGAGGACACAAACGCACCGGCTCTCCGGGGCCACTGGTGCGCAAGATGCCTCCCCTACAGCTCCAGCTATGCGTGCACGAGTGAAGGCGCGAGGGGCTGGGGCACTGGAGGTGCGGAAGGCCCTTGGACACTCGACAAGGGAAGGCCACTGAGCGCGGCCCGGATAGCCTGAGTGGCCTCCAGGTCACCGCGAGATGTCCCCGAGGGCCCCCAGATGTCGGCAACAGGTGCAGGGGGAGGCCCCAGGAGCGCCGCGGATGCGCTTTATACGGACAGCACCATCGAAAATGATGCCCCCCCCATCACAAATGCGTTGGCTTTCACGGCTTTCCACCCGAAGATGGCTTCGGGCGTGCTCAAAAAGAGCCCGAAGACGGTCCCGAGAGGCCCAGCGGAATAGCCCGAGGCAGCACGCCAGAGCTTCCAAGATTCTCCACGGCAGCCCACAAGCAGCACACAGGGGGGCCCATCGAGCGGGCCAGGCGGCCCACGAACTGCGGCGGCACCGCCTGTGCCCCTGAGCCCTTCTCTCTTGACGCCAGGCGTGGACACCGTGCGGACAGGACAGAAAAAATACTCACTGCGTGGAGCTTCCCATCTGTGCATATCATGTTTTATGTCATGCCATAGTGGGCGTCTGTTCATGAGCGCTCGACTATAATAGCGCGCCCACGTGGGCGACAGGGCCGACGAAGACGAATGAATCCGAATGCGAGCGAATGCGTATGAGTCAGAGTTCTGATTATGATTGAATATGAGCCTCCCATTCATTCCCCTCCTCAGCTGCCAAACCGCACCCTCCTCAGCCAGTGGTAATGCGCATATGTTTTAGGATAGTTGGCAATGGGATATGTAAGACGAGCGCTTAGCCACACAAGGCCATATGTGCATATCATGTTGTAAGATAGTGCCACGGCGAGCACTTGTCCTTGATAGTTGTTTGCTCCAAGAGCGCGCCCATGTGAGCAGCGAGCACACGCGCGCGCAGCGCGGCTGCACATCCACCACGCGCACGCATTCATTGACATGCATATGCCCGCGCATCTTTTTTTGGTCAAGGCAAAGAATTCCTTCGGCGCCGCGTCCGAAGCATCAGGGGGAGTACGAATGACAAGTGTTTCAAACGGCCCCTCGCGACCTGCACCTCAGCTTTAACCGTCCGCACTTCGCATCGGTCTAGCTGGCAACGCAAACAGAAGTCGCAGGTACATGACGTGCAAAAAGCAAGTGCTACAAATGGCACCCTCGCGGTTTGCGCCTCGGTTTTTGCCGTCCGCACTTGGCATCGGGCCTAGCAGGCAACGCAAAAAGAAGCCTTCTGCACTTGGCATCGGGGCGAAGGGCCAGAGGCACGACGCGAATCACTACGTCTGTGACCTCATATCTGCCAGCTGTGCCATGTCGGACTCTTGCTCAGCCCCCTCCGCGATGTCCCGCGCATCGCCCAGCGCCCCGTTGACGCCGTCGCCTTCGCTCGCAGCCGCGCTGGAATAAGAACCGTGCCCTTCCAGCACCTGGACATGGTTATCGATCGTCTCGTAAAAGG